AAAGATTTGGGAGAGAATGACTTTGCGTTGTTGGATAAGATGATGGGAAATTACACGACGGATCAACGTCGGATGTTGAAACAAAAAGAAGCGTATCCGTACGAATGGATGGATAAATTTTCTAAATTCGACGAACCGTCACTTCCGTCCAGGGATAAATTTTACAGCAGTTTGAATGATGAAAATATCATGGACGAAGACTATCAGCACACGCAAAAGATATGGAAGTCGTTCGGAATGAAAACAATGCGTGACTATCACGATCTGTATTTGAAGACGGACGTGTTATTATTGGCAGACGTCATGGAAAGATTTCGTGGTATCTGTATGGAAAATTACGAGTTGGATCCGTTATGGTATTATTCAGCCCCCGGATTGGCATGGGATGCGAGTTTGAAAATGACACGGATCAAATTAGAATTAATTTCCGATCCGACCATGTTTAACTTTATCGAAAAGGGGAAGCGCGGTGGAATAAGTATGATCAGTAAAAGACGTGCCGTCGCAAACAATAAGTACATGAAAGATTACGATCCGAAAAAGAAAAATGTTTTCATACCTTATCTGGACGCAAATAACCTATACGGATGGGCGATGTGCCAACCGTTACCCTACGCCGACTTTGAATGGATGGATAAGAATGCGTTGAGAATATGGAATAAACTTCCTCGCGGGAAGGGATGTTTTGTGGAAGTGGATTTAAAATATCCCGAAAAATTACACGACCTGCATAGCGAATATCCGCTTGCACCTGAACGAGTGATTATCGGTGGGAACAAAGTAGAGAAATTAACGCCGAATTTAAACAATAAGAAAAATTACGTCGTCATCACGAGGCGTTGAAAAAGTATGTGGAATTAGGATTGATCGTGACGAAAGTTCAACGCGGCGTGATGTTTTCGGAAAAGCCGTGGCTCAAGGAATACATCGAACTGAACACCAATTTGCGTAAAAAAGCAAAGTCGGATTTCGAAAGTAATTCTTTCAAACTGATGAACAACAGTGTGTTCGGAAAGACGATGGAAAATGTGAGAAACCGGGTCAACGTGAAGCTCGTTAATAATGAAAAGAAGTGGAATAAATTAGCAAAAAAAGTTATTACAAGTCGACAGACATATATACAGAGCATTTAGCGTTGGTTCGCATGCGAAAGACGGTCGTTCATTTAACGAAACCTATTTACGCAGGCGTTACCATTTTGGATATCAGCATGACGTTGATGTACGACTTCCATTACAATTACATGAAGAAAAAAATATGGAGATAAAGCGGAACTTCTTTTCACAGATACGGATTCACTGGAATACGAGGTGACGACCGACGACTTTTTCGAAGACATCGCATCGGACGTCCGTATGAAATTCGACACGAGTAAATTCCCGAAATCTCACCCGTCTGGAATTCCGTGTGGGGTCAATAAGAAAGTCATGGGGATGATGAAATCCGAGACGGCCGAGAAACAGATTTTAAAATTTATAGGACTAAGACCAAAATTATATACGAACATCATGGATGATGGGAAGATGGATGATGGGAGGTTGGGTTGGCCTTCATAACTGAGACATGGCTAAACGAAAATATTGATGACGGTGCCGTTGAAATTAGTGGCTTTTCCTTAGTTCGGCGTGATAGAATTTCTAGAATCGGGGGTGGCGTTTGTGCTTATATTAAAGACCAGATTCCTTTTAAAATCTTAACAGATTTGCATGAAGACAATTTTGAATCACTCTGGCTTTACCTGAGACCAAATAAACTTTTCCGTGGCTTTTCCTGCCTGATTATCTGTGTGGTCTATCACCCTCCCTCCAATGATAACTGTGCCTTAATCGATCACCTAACATCTAAACTTGACGCTGCTCTTATATCGTACCCCAACGCTGGTATTTTTCTCATTGGAGACTTTAATAAATGCCCAATTTCCTCCCTACTACGTCATTTTACTTTGAAACAGATAGTTAAAGAACCCACAAGAGGAAATTCCACATTGGACTTAATTTTGACAAATATGACTTCCTGTTGTAACTCTCCGGTGTTATTACCCCCTGTCGGCCAAAGTGACCATAATTCCATACTGTGGTCCTTTAATAAAAATACAGCTAAATATCAAAAGTGAAAACTAGACAAGGTAACAATCATGATAGGAAAGCATTCGGTAAGTGGCTAGCTGGTATAAACTGGAACAACTTGTACCGCGCTGAATCATGTGAACAAAAGTTAGATTTTTTTCAAACAGTTATAAATACTGGTTTGGACTGTTTTTTCCCTAGTAAAATTGTAAAGTTGCACGATCATGATAAACCATGGGTTACAGTCGGATTTAAGAAAATTATAGAAAATAGACAAAGAGCGTTTCGTCAGGGCAAAAGTCTGCTATATCGTAGATTGAGAAATCTTGCCAATAGAGAAAGTAAGAGACTCAAGTCAACCTTCCTTAAGAAAAAGATGGATGAGTTAAAACTAAACCCCAATGCTAAAAATGGTGGCAATGTATAAAACAGCTTGCGGGTTTCGCCAAGAACAAAACATTCTCTAATTTCGTTGTAAACAACCAGGTTTTTGCTGGTAAAGAGTTAGCAGATAAAATCAATGATGTTTTTGTCTCATCTACCCAAGATATTCCTCACTTGAATAAGTCTCCAGTTGATGACCTAATTGAAAATGGCAGTACAAGTATCCTTCCACAGTTTATTATCGAAGAAAAAGATGTATACTGTAAATTGTCCGCCATCCCCGTTTCCAAATCACCTGGTCCTGACGGAATACCTAATTGGGTGCTTAAATCTTATGCATACGTTCTTTCTTCCCCTGTGGCATCGATTTTCAACGCTTCGATTCAAGAAGCAGTTGTACCCTCAATGTGGAAAAAGCGAACGTTATCCCTGTTCCAAAAAAATCAGTCCCTAAAGACATTTCTAAAGATTTGCGCCCTATCTCACTTACCCCCACTTTATCCAAAATTTGCGAACGGTTTGTTACAGACTGGTTACTTAAGTCAATTGGTGCAAAGATTGATACGCGGCAGTTTGGCTCCGTTAAAAATTCCTCGGCTACCCATGCCCTACTGAGCCTGATCCATCACCTCCTGAGTGCTACAGATGCTTCAAGCAATGCGGTGAGAGTATTCTTGCTTGATTTTGAAAAAGCTTTTGATCGAATAGATCACAACATACTGGTGAATAAGCTACAACAAATGAGTGTTTCCCAAACCATTATAAATTGGATTGGAAGTTTTCTCTCTGATCGTAAACAACGAGTCAAGTTGGCTAACTGTCATTCGGACTGGCAAACGTTAAACGGTGGAGTGCCGCAAGGGTCGGTGTTAGGGCCGGCTTTGTTCCTTGTTATGATAAATGATCTTCTTATTGATTGGAGCGATAGATGGAAGTATGTTGATGACAGTACGTTTGCTGAACGAGTTACATCAACTGAGAGTAGTGAACTACAAGATCTTGTGAATGTTATCTATAATTGGTGTGAAGTTAATAATATGAAGCTCAACATCGGCAAATGTAAGGAAATGGTAATTGACTTTGCAAGAGAAAAACATGAGTTTTTACCGTTAACTATAAATAACATTGGTATTGAGCGGGTAAAATCTGCCCGAATTCTTGGTCTCTCAATCCAAGATGATTTGAAATGGAACGAGCATGTGAACCATATTGTTAAAAAAGCGGGAAAACGCCTTTATATGCTAAGGTTGTTAAAACGATCAAATGCCGACAATAGCATTCTAATTTTGGTATACTGCACCATTATCAGACTAGTACTCGAATATGCCTGCCAAGTTTGGCACTTCAATATTACAGAATACCTAAGTGAAGATATCGAAAAACTCCAGAAGCGGGCTCTGCGTATTGTCTTGCCATTCGCTACTTATAGAGAAGCTTGCAGTATTACTGGTATACCCTTACTGAAAGATCGGCGGCGATTATTATGCGAACGTTTTTGTGTTAAAAATGCACATGGAGACAAATTGGGTGACCTCTTACCGCCTAAACTTGAACATAACTATAATACACGTTATGGAAGCGATTATAATAACTATAGTTGTAAAACGGACAGATTTATGAAATCGTTTTTTCCACAGATGGGTTCACATATGAATAGACCATAATTTTAATATTTTTAATATTTTTAAATTTGAACTCTATAACTTTTTCAACTGAAGTTATGAATAATTTTATGCATCTAGATATTCTATTGTAGTATAATGAGACTTTTTACTGATGTAATTTAACCTAATAGGTTACAAATCGGTATTTTATTAAATTATCAAATTATTCCAATTATTCCAACATCATGGATGATGGGAAGGAAGAGAAAAAATGTAAGGGTATTAAAAAATGTGTCGTCAAGAAAAACATAACGTCTCGGGATTTCGAGGATTGTCTTTTCGACAGGACGAAATATGTTAAACGCGTCGGGATGACTACTTTTCGTAGCCACAAACACACCGTTTATACCGAACGTCAGGTAAAAGTCGCCTTATCTCCGAACGACGACAAGCGATATATTTTAGACGATGGGATTCATACGTTGGCGTTAGGTCACAAAGACATTCCGGACGACAGACGTACATTACCGAGGATAGAATTAAAATACCGTGGATTTACAGAATTCCCGCGGGAAAAATTACCGGTAGTTATGAAAATACCTGGGACAAAAGATTATAAAATAAGTGGTTGTGCGCAGTCGTAAAGGGAAAAGCACCTTGAATTTACTGGTGACTAAATTCAAGTAAATTTGAAGGACGTTCTGTGGAATCTTACAAGTAAGACTTGACAGTAACCCAAGTAAATTTTGAGTATGTACTGTAAGACCTTACAAGCAATACTTGACAGTATCCCCAGTAAATTTTAAGTGTGTCCTGTGGTACCTGGTGAGTAAGATTCAAGAAAATTTCCAGTACGTCCTGTAAGATCTTACGAGTAAAATTCAAGTAAATTTAAGTAAATTTTAAGTAAAACTAAGTATGATCTACCTATATAATAAAATGACAGAACCATTAAAACCACCGGAACCACCGGTTACAGAACCTTCGAAACAACCGAAAGTCAAAGATCCGCGTCGAGTCGCGGCGGGAAAAAGATTGGCGGCTATCAGTCTACAGGCCAAAGCCAGCAAGAAAGCAAAATTGGAAGAAGCGAAAGTAAGTCAGGGTATTGAAAGTGATGATGAAACTTCAACATTTTCCCTGAAAAAATTAGGTTTGATTTCTACGATCGTCGTAGGATTCGGAAGCTTATATTTTATGTGGCAGAGTCAGAAAAAGGAAGAACGGGAAAAAAGTCCCGATGAAAGAAAATTCCAAGCATGGCGGACGGACGCTTATTTGTGAGCTCTGACGCCGAATTAAGCGATATGGAAGAGAATACAACAAGAAATGTAGAATCCAAGCGAGCGAATAACATCAATGTCGTTAAGTATCTTAATATTACTGAAAAAGGAAAACTCAGATGGACAGGTTCTTTCGAGAATGTCGAAATACTGATAAACGAGTTGCTCGAGACACAGACAAAATGGTCATCGCCTGGTGGTCATTGTAAGCTGCTAGAGATGGACAACTTCTAAATGCGGTGGTATTCAAACAATTACTCTTTAATTATTAAAGGGGAGCAAGACGAAGTCGAAGAAATAAACTCTCGGTTGCGAATAATGGCCAACCTAGCTGATAAAGAAACCGAGTTATCAAACGCTTTTGTCAGTGAAGGAAATGGCGACAGGGAGGGAGACGGCGTAAATACAGCCTCGACCGAAAACAGTCATATCGAAATAAATTCACATGAGACATCGAACTACAACAAAGTACTCGACAGTATACGAGACCTTGAACTGTGTTTTGTAAACAAATTCGATGAGCTTTTGCAGGAAATTCGACAGTCCAAAAAACAACAGAAGAAACTATCAGTGAAGACCGAAATTCCTTAATTAAAGAAAATGGCAAACTGAAGCAAGAAATCGACATACTATCGGGCCAAGTCAATAACTATAAGTGTATTGCATCGGACTTTCGCACGAAAGTTAAACAACTAGAAGATGAACAGAAAAGTTTAATAACAGCAATCAAAATTGTACAAAATGATTGCAATACAAATAAACAAAGTACATGGTCATGAAATGTTGTTAAAAATCGTAAGCCAAATTAGAATGAAAGCACACAACGTGGACAAAACTCTGGGGAAAATAGTCACAATGGACTAGCCAAGACAGATAATCAATATTCTGTTTTAGTTGATGAAAGTGACGACGAGATTAACATATTATCTCAAAGCCAATTACCTAAAGCCTGCCGCACACGAGAGCTATCTGCTCAGCAAAAAGTTACTCGTGCCTGTTAGCTCAGCCGATAGCTCACCGTGTGCGGGTACATTTTACTGAGTTTTTTGCCTCATGCAACCTTTTCTCACGTATCAAACATGTTTGATCGGTGAGCTATCAGCTGAGCTAACAGGCACGAGTAACTTTTTGCTCAGCAGATAGCTCTCGTGTGCGGCAGGCTTAAGAATAGAAATCAATCTGAACCACCCAGACACACCATCAGGTCCAATGAAGACAATATACGACAACGAGCGAGCCCAAGATTCTCGCAGATCTCCGCGCGTAGGACAATCAAGATTTGCTATTTTGGGCGATTCTATGCTTAAACAAATAAACGCGAGACGAATTCAACAAGGAATGAAGCATAAAATTGTTGTAAAAACATTTCCTGGTGCGGGAATAAAAGAAATGAATCACTATGTAAAACCAACGTTACTCACGGCACCAAATAAGCTTATTTTACACGTCGGAACCAATGATCTACAAAGAATGACGCCAGATGAATTGTTGACACATGTACAAAAGCTTGGAGAGAGCATTACTCGAGAAAACGGGAATATTGAATTAGTTTTATCAGAAATCATAACAAGAAATGACGATAAAACATTGGCTGATAAGGTAAACGAATATAACAAGGGATTGGCCCAACTATGTATAGAACGAAATTGGTGTCTTATCAGGCACAATAATATTGACGTAAACCATTTAAATAACTACGGACTGCACTTAAATAAGCAGGGTACATCAGTCTTAGCAAAAAACATAAAGCAATTTCTTAATAGGAATTGACTAGGTAACGACAATAATAATGACATAAGACAAAGCGATAATAATATAGTCGACAAAGATATTTCCGATAGTCCAGCACGCTGCTCCTCGAAAAGCCCAAAAATTCCTTTCCAAATTAATAAGTCTTATCCAAAACTAAAGGGTTTTAAAATTGGCCACTTAAACATTACTAGTTTGCCGAAACACATGGATGAGCTTAAATTATTCATGAAGGAAATATCATTCGACATTCTTTGCATAAACGAAACTAGATTAGACAATACAATTAACGACAATATTATTAAGATACCAGGTTATGATATTGTAAGACGAGACCGAGATCGAAATGGAAATGGTGGCGGTGTAGCAATTTATATAAGAAGTATCATTAGTTATAAAAACCATATCGAATTCATTCCAGACAACTTAGAATCTATTTGTCTCGAAATTCAAAAACCTAAGTCAAAACCACTCTTAATTGTTACATGGTATCGTCCACCAAATTTTAACACTAGCATATTAAACGACTTCGAAACGTTAACGTTTAACGAAAACTAGATGATACAAATATTGATATTATCACTGGCGACCTAAATTGCGATATGATGGCAAACAGTTCTACTCATCATACAAAAAAGTTATCCGATCTGATAAATGAGTTTCAGCTAAAGCAACACATTACAAGTCCGACTAGAATAACGACAACATCTAAAACATTAATTGATATAATAATGACTAAAGCAAGCGATACCAAAATTATAGACTCTGGAGTGATACATTTAGGACTGAGTGATCACAGTTTAGTGTACATTTGCCGCAAAGTAGGAATACCAAGGGCTGAACCAAAAATTGTAGAAACAAGGCAGTTTAAATACTTTAATTCATCTGCATTTCAATACGACTTAAAAATGGCATTTCAAAGACACTACAACCTCTATAATTATGCCGACCCAAATCAGGCGTGGGAGGTATGGAAAACTATTTTTCTTGATATTGCAAATATGCATGCTCCACTTCGGATTCGGAAAGTCAAAAGTGAGCACTGTCCTTGGATGACAAACGAAATAAAAAACCTTGCGCATCATAAATTCTACTTGAAACAAAAAGCGGTCAAATTCAACTCTTCTAATTACCACGAAGCTTATAAACGTTGTAGAAATGAACTTAACAAAAGAATCAAAGCAACTAAGGTTCAATTTTACAACACTAAACTACAAAACAGTAAAAATAGTAAAGAAGGTTGGAATACATTAAATAATCTGCTTAATAGGAAATCCAAAACCACAATTGTTAATGAACTTAGCGTAGACCATGGAAAAAATGTAACACAAGATAAAGATATAGTCGACGAGGTTAATAAATTATTCACTTCTATAGGTCCCAAATTAGCAAATAACATTGCTGACAATGGCTGTAGTCCTGATCCTTTGTCATATATAGACCAAGTCACAAATGTATTTCACTTTCATAGCATATCAAGCTATGAGCTGAAAAGAGAAATACAAAATATGCAAATGGCAAAATCTACAGGTCTAGATAAGATCTCAACTAAGCTAATAAAACAAGCAGGCGATACAATAACTGAATCACTCCTAGAAGTGTTTAACCTATCTCTTAGGACAGGAATATTTCCAGATGATTGGAAATTTGCCAAAGTGACTCCAATATATAAGTCAGGAAACAAAACCTTATGTGAAAACTATAGACCGATATCAGTCATTTCGAATATCGCCAAAATATTTGAGAAATTAGTCTGTAGACAACTAAATACCTTCCTGGATAACAACAACATAATTGTAAAAAATCAATCAGGTTTCCGTCGCAATCACTCAACCGAAACCTCGTTACTACAATCTACTGAAATGTGGTTGAAATCAATGGACCAGGGTCAAATAAATGGGGTTATTTTCTTAGACCTGAAAAAAGCATTTGATACGATTGATCACCAGATTCTATTGTCAAAACTACAAGCTTATGGGATACGCGACCGCACGCTCAAATGGCTCCAATCGTATTTAGATCAAAGAAAGCAAATTTGCATGCTAAATAACTGTAAATCTGATATTGAAACAATTCGTTGTGGAGTACCTCAGGGTTCAAATCTTGGACCTCTATTATTTCTCATTTACATAAACGACCTCCCAAACTGCCTAGAAACAACACACTCTAATTTATTTGCTGATGACACAATTTTATCATTTCAAGGGCATTTATCCATAGATATTGAATACAAACTTAACAAAGACCTAGTAAATGCTCAAAAATGGTTATCAGCGAATAAACTAACATTAAACAACGAAAAAAACAAATATATGATTATTGGATCTCAGCAACGATTGAAAAACTTAGATCACGTGCCAAAAATCAGTATAAGCGGACATCAAATTGAACGAGTTTATAAAAAGGAAGCTTTGGGTATAGTTATAGACGATAGACTTAGCTGGAATAGGCAAAATGAAGAACAATGCAACAAGATATCAAAAAATATTAATCTTTTAAGAAAAGCCAAAGATTATGTTGGCCTAGATACGCTCAAAATTATGTATAACGCATTAGTCGCGCCTCATTTTAACTACTGTTCAACTGTTTGGCAAAATAACAACCAAACACACTTAGACAAATTATATAAGCTTCAGAAACGAGCAGCAAGAATAATAACAAATTCGGACTATACTATAAGATCTTCGGACATTTTTCAAAAACTTAGCTGGAAACCTGTTGACTTAGTTTTGAAAAAGCAAGATCTGCTTATGACATTTAAAGCGATTAATGGCATGCTTCCAGAATACGTAACACAACTATTTCACACTTGTGAAAACAATGGTTACGTACAGCGCAGTAGTAATTTAAAGCTATCTCAACCTAAACCAAAAACGAATTTCTTGAAAAATAGCTTTTCGTAGAGAGGAGCAGCGTATTGGAACAACATCCCAGTAAACTTGTTGAAAACCCTAAGAAAATCAACAAGTTTAAAATCTGTCCATCATCTATTAAATAATTACATCTTGTAAATAAGTAAATAAGTAAATAAGTATATTTTGTAAATAAGTATAATTTAGTTTATTAGTTCCTTCTTTTATAATGCATTTATTTTCCGCACGGCCCTTTGAAAATCACCTATGTGAAAGGTTACCGTGTTTAAAGATCAATAATAATAATAATAATAATAATAATAATAATAACTTCGACGACCCGTTTGATTAGGATTTGACGGGAAAACAAAATATTATATGAATATTTCATATAATATAAAAGAAAAGTCTTATTTGACGACCACTAGATTCTAGGAGTCATAAACATCTTATCGAAAACTTCATGGGATAAAAAAAGAGAGATGAAAGTGTTATCGTTAAGGAATCCTACGTTGATCGGAGATAATGAAATTGTCACCGTCCGTCCGACAGTGGTAAAATTTATTTCGCGGCGAGGGAATTGGCGCTTACACTTGGATACGTAAACACGCGCAGTGTTGTCGGAAATCACACGAGAGAAAGACAGAGGATTACACTTGGGGAACTAAGGGGGTCCGGAATCAGGACCCCCTTTGCCGACACGCCAGAAGGTATGCAACCCAACAAGGTGTTTGTTACCGAAGCCGGTTTCTACAGTCTTGTACTCGGTTCTAGATTACCCACTGCTAGGGAATTTCAGGATTGGGTATGCGAGGACGTTCTTCCATCCATTCGGGAAACTGGAACGTGTACGTTACCGGGAGTTGTAAATGATATCAAGGGTATTGAAGATGAAGAACTACGCCGTCTTGCCGACATCGAACGGATGGAAGCACGTCACGAATTAGTTCGTAAGGGAAAACTCGTGAAAGATTCAAAAGCTGTTTCACGTGGGAAAAAAGGTGGATTAGCCGCACAGGAAAAAATCAGACAGACTGAAAAAGAATTGGAGGGAAAGGAATTCAAAGTCTACGAACAAGAAAAAGAGATTACAAAACTTAGGATCAAAGTATCATGTCTGAAGGTCGAAATAGACGTACTCGAAGAAGAAAATGAAAGACTTGCTGAGGAAATGAACGAACTTGTGGATACGAATATTGAACTCACAGAAGAAGTAGAGAAAATGAAATCCGAGAAGACAACATAAAATTTATTTTTTATTTCTCGTAGAAATAAAAGAACAATGTCCGATACAAAGAAAGAAGTGATCAACGATCTTTACGACGCCGCCTTACTCACTGCCGGTGTCGTCGGCGTGTCCTACATCGCAAAAACCGTCGTCAGAAAAAGTTTGGGGGCACCGATGACGTTCGGAGGTGCGATGAAATTAAGTCTCGCCGTCGCAGGAAGTTCATTTGCCGTCGCGTATCTGAAAGATAAAGGTTACGTACCCAAAATGATCAATAAATAAATGACATCTAATTTAATCGTCGGCGGATTATTTAATGCCGTTGCATTTGCGGAGGCATGATTCTTATTTCCCCATTTGAATCAGAACGGGTACAAGGAAGAACTCAGAAGACATAATCATGCCTTAGAAGAATTAGCCGAGGCCAAGGAGAAATTTTACAAATCCGAAGTCAAAAGACGCAATCAAGAATTACGTCGACGTCAGGAAATTTTAGACGCGAATCACGATATCGAAGAGACGAACAAAGCGTTGGACGAACTGAGAAATTATAATAGACGAATGGATTTATCGGCCCCGGATCGTAAACCGAAATTAAGTGATTATTATCAACCGTCGGACGACATGCAAAAATATATGTACGTCACCGTAAGTGCCGTCGGTCTTGGTAGCGGATACGTACTGACGCGAATACTGTGAATTTTTTAAGTGACGAAGAACTTAAAAAATTCCGTGACGAGAAAACATTTGAGAACCGTTGATTTTTTTTCGAACGGATGAATTTCGTGCCGTATCGATATTTCTAAATTTTAATCCAAAGACGGTAATTTTAGTACTCATGTGAAAGAATGTAAACGTCTTACGAGCGATACCGCCCGATTGTGTTTCGGCAAACATGGTGACATTTCCCGTACTTCCACCGTAAAATCCATACGTGGGAGATTGCGTTTCCTGATTGATACCGACACCACTTACTTTAAAAATAATGAATTTTGCATTTTTTTGATCGGTTGCCGAGACGGTGGGGGTTTCGAGAAGTCCCGGTGGATATCCGGAAAGTTGTGTGAGATCGTCTTGAACGGGTGGATTTCTTCCGATGTCGTTCAAGTCGATCAGTTCGGTTTTATTTTTCTGAATTTCGGCCGTATTTCCCTGTTGTATTTTTTTCATGTTTGCGACCTTCTTTTCGAGGTCGTTGTTTTCAAAATAATCATATCCTATGAGTACTCAAGTAGATTAATGCATGGGTCCAGCTTCAAATTACGATTAAACACTTAAATGGTCAGGAAACATTAGCGAGTCCATTTTTTGCGGGGAAATTAACAGTGCTTAACCACAGCGGTCAGAGCTTGCCACTTAAACATTTAACGTTTCTATGGAAACATGTCACGTGACAATTTTGGTCATTTATCGTTACTACTTTTCAACGGCGTTGCGGACTCGGAAAATCGCAATAAAGAATTCCGTTTTTCTTCATTTTAAATACTTTAGTGTCTCAACTTTATATATCTAACTTGTTATCATGGATGAGATTTGTTATTAATGCCCCAAAATCAATAATACCCTTGAGAGTTATTATTCGCTCAGGAATTCTTTGCCGTTCAGCCGCATATTAAATTATAGTCTCAAAATCAAGTTAATGCACAAAACTACATGCTAATATCAATGTTATTAAATGTTTATTTTAAACAACAAAGTTAAAAATCCTTGTCCGCAAGCCAAACGAAAGTTTCCGTAAAAAATGTCGAAGAGACGCCATCTTGGATTGAGCCTGCACTGTTGTAAAAAGCGGAATACGCCAATAGCAAAACAAATTATGCGGCGCGAAATTTAAAAATTTCGCGCAATTAAGCAACAAAGTGAAGCTTCTACAGCAAATACAACAAGTTATTTCGATGTTTTTAAGATGTAATATTATTTTATTTGAATATGCGTGGTTCATGATGGTTTTAAGTCTAATTCACCCTAATACTTGTGGATTTTCCAAAGTAATTGCGTGGCAGCTGGCAAAATCGACGCAGTCAAAAGCGACACGTTTGGACGGAGAGTCACTTCCAAAATTTCGTTCGCGAATATCGAAGTTACACTACGAAAATTTTATTCAAACTTTCAGTGAATGCAAAGAGAATTTTTGTATTGACTTCATAGCGTTTCAAAATAGGTTTCCAGATCTCCACACGAAGTTTGTTAAATGGAATTCGCGAAAAATCAACGAGCGCGCAATATATGTTGCTACTTTTGACACGGAAAAGTGGAGGAAACTTCCATCCTCAAAGAAGGCTGAACATAGTTTACTGGAGTGTCGTGGATGTTCTCAGAGATATAGCTACCAGCAGTCTTTATTTCCTGTCAAGTCCAACCAATTAAAACATATCCAAAAGGAGATTGACTTTGCAGAGGCAGCACAAACTGTTAGAGACGTGTGTCATGAAAAGGAAAAGTGTACGAAACGTGAGGTGACCAAGACCGCAAGGGAACTTTACACTCGAATAAACTCACAATTTGAGAAAGCATGCCAAGTTCCTTTGGCTGAAGCATTAGTCTCTGTTCCCGAATTACAACTGCAGCAGAAGAAATCTAAAGCCCAAATGAAGAAAGAAAGAAGGGATCAATACAGAAAGGCTAAAAAACGGATAGAAGAAGAATGGAAGGAAACAGAAATTATAAGGTTAGTGTGTTTTTAGGTAAGATTATAATTATAAGACATTTGCATACTACAGTATATGCATTGTGTGGAAAGATTGCAATTTGGAATTAAATCATAGGACGTAGCACTCTTTACATATAACATGACTAATTATATGGCATATGCATCGATATTACCATGCACATTGTTTACACTACTGTACACTATAGGTTATGTACTGATTTCTGGGTGGTAGAAATGAAGTTCAAATTACCTGGCATATAATTATACTCCATGGTACAGTAAGACAATAATATATTAAGTGTTATTTCGACTAAAAAAATAGTCTTGTAAATTGGGTATATCTACTTATAGGTGTTTTGGCAACAGACAGTCGCTAAAGTCAAGACAGAATGATCGTCTAACCCAGGCATTCGAGCCAAGAGTGAGTCCAGAACATTCCCAGGAAACCATAACAAAACGAAGTCCTGTTGGAGTATTTGACAACATGACATGGGACAAAGATGCTCTGAAATTGGAAGTTGAATCGTATGAAGATGGCAAGTTTGTTAATTGGTCCCAACTAGCAAAAGAATATAATGTCACAAATACAAAAGGAGAAATTGCAGAAAATGGTGGCCAGATTGCAAAAGAATGGTTGAAATCGGTGGGTGTTGACACTGAACGATTCAAACGATACAACACAAATTCTGATGGTCCGCGTATTCGACGAAAGAAGAGGAGGGGCTTAGGAGGGGAGATATCAATTCCAACGCCACAAACAAATGCGTGTCTGAAGAAACAATTACAAGAAAAAATCTTGCAGAACGAATATTCAATTGGGAAGTTAATTGTTCCTAGAAAGGTACGTACTTCATTGTCTTATTCTACCACTAACAAGTAAAATCGTCTGGTGTTAGAGTGAGTAAAATACTGAAGTACTGGGCACATTTCCAGCTAATGGTCGCATGGGTTAAATCATTCAGTTACAATGTACAGTGCACTCATTACCACCAGATGATTCTAACAAGAGTATTATTTTATTTCCTTATTTGTAGTATGAAAAATTTACACTTAGTGATGATGGTAAAATAATTCGAAGTGAATTTGTGGTAGAAGGTCGCAAGCAACCGTTGACAGTTATCAGGGAGAATTTTCTGAAGTCGCATGCCAGTTACAGGAGAAAGATGAGCAATGAAGAATTATCTGAGATGTCAAGAGAAGAATTAATAGAAAAATTAGTTCAGGTCAATGCAGTGTTCTCTGATGCAGATGATAAAGAGGTAATAAAAGCAAAGCTGAAAGAGATTTCACACACTCGACACCTAAAAATATGGCATGATTTATCAACAGTGGCTAATCATGGTCATCTGATTTTCATGGTTGCATGCTTATACGATCCAGCCTTATTTTACACAAATGAGGAGTATGAAAGTAAGACAAAGAGAAAAGTTGATGTTCAAACAATTATTGAATCACCTGAAGTGTACATTGTTGCCAGGTCAAGCAGCTCCGATTTAGAACAGTTGTCTTATGTTGAAACGAGGTTAGAATGCTTGGAAGAAATCAGTCTGCCATTAGCAACAGAAGAAGGGGAAGAAATAGTTGATGTGATGAGGTTTTTTCATGGTGACAACCCAGCCCAGCAATATGAGTGTGGCCAACAAAAGGGAGGCAACTTCTATTGTTCAGTCTGTGGAGTACATGCACACCGTGTGTATGAACTGGATTACAGCTTTCGTTGCACGCACATTTCATTAAGTGAAAGACAGAAGTTGATTTTAGAGGGTGCCATTGCTCGACGAAAAACAATGGCAGGAAATAATAAACCAGTCTACCAATTGAAGAAGGCAGAATTATTACAAGAATTGAACAGCAGAAAGATATACGAAGGGGAAAAGCAGGAAGAGCTGAAAAAGTTGCTGGTTGATGAGCTTCATGGAGTGCAGAGAGTCCCAGCTCTTCTTTTCACAAACCCACTGGCTAACTTGGCTTCAATTAACAGTGACAAATATGAAATATTACCATTTGAGCCACTGCATGATGTGGGAAAACATATCGAAAATGTTCTTGTTGAGTTGCCAATGCATGTTTCACCCGAAGAAGCGACAATTATCAATGAAACAGTTGAACTTTGTCTTGGTACTAAAGAAACAAAGAGATGTTTTGACTACCGATGTGCTTTGATAATGGTAACTAATCGAGTAATTGGTAAAATCTCTCAAGGAGCACAGAGGCTGTTACAGACTTTGGTTGAGATACAATCCATTGCATATGGAAGAGATGAGAGCCGTTCACCACGCAGTGTTCTGCGATTCCACAATCTGACATGGTTACACGCATTTCTATGTTGGCAAGTTATCGGTTATGAGACAAAGCAGATGAGTTGTAGAAAATTTTATGGTGTCTACTTCCACAAAATGTCAGCCCATGCTGCCATACAACATCGTCTTGTCAGTGGAAAATCATGTCATGCTGAAGAACAAGAAAGAATTTTCAATGCGGTTACCAACATCACTCGTGCAACCTCATCTAACAAGCCTGGTCATATTATTGGCAATGTGTTTCTTCGAATCCAAGCTGAGAAGAAAATGGGAGCTTACCATTCAGAGAATACAGTACCAAAGCAGCAAGCTCACATATCCAAACTGGCTAAATCGGTTCCTTCTCTTGGCAATACTGTTGTTCCTTTCAGCACTATAACAAGTCATTCTTCTTCTTGGCAAGCCCATTTGGAGAGGATAAGTGACTTTTTGGTGGTTGGCAAAGATGTTTGGTGGACAAGCAATGAAGAAGGCGACGTAGAATTCTTTGACAGCATTCAGACAGAGGTAGATTCAAGAGTTGAAGGTCCAAAGCTTCATCATTTCCGTTCTAGTAATTTCAAAGACGAGGAAGAATATCTGAATGAATGCTGGTCTATGTGTCTGGAAAAGAAAATTCCCTTACCTCTTCATGTGTTACGGGTGAAAGATGCCAATAAAGATACCTTTATCCTATCCAGACACATTTCCTGAGGAATCAAGAGTTCATAGATGACTTGTCTGATGATGTTACTATGACGAATGAAGCACCAGTTGTTGTTGATGGAGAGAGCACAGTAGATATGCCAGAAGAACATCATGATGGTACAAATAATGTTGATGCAAGTGATGATGAACAAGAAAGTTGTGAAAACACGATCCATTATAATCTGATGCCAGAACAAGAAGATGATTTGCAACTGTCAATGTTAAACAATACCTCAGTGGATACTGTATCTACAACAGGTTTGTTCTATATACAAAACCATGCATATAATTACACATAATAATAATGTAAGTAACAGTGGCGTAAAGTCATATCAGGGGGCCCCCGGTTCAAAACTTTCGAAGGCCCCCCTAGTAGAAGTGCCAAAGGCACAAGTCGAGCGCCATATATGCACAAGTTTTCTAGGGGGTCCAGAGCATGCTCACCCGGAAAATTTTTGAATCTAGATTCTCTGAAATACTATTTCCCGGACTTTAGGGAGAGATTTTACAGAATTCTGATGGTCAGAAAACGAAATTGTAACATATCAAAGGCCCTGGCTAATGCTTTTGCTCTATAGCCTGAGCCTGGGGGCCCCCATTTGGCCCATTGGGGTTGGGGGCCCCCGGGTTCTCCCGGGCTGAGCCCATAGTAGTTACGCCACTGGTAAGTAACCAATTTGGCAGAGAATATATTGTCTGATATTGGTCATATTGTTTTGATATGGTCATATTCCCTATAGCCTGTTGTGTTCTCATATAAGCTGTTTCTTCATATATTTTTATAGTGGAGGAGTGTACTCAAGTCGCAAATGAAGCGAACAATGTTCAAGTCACTCAAGGCTCTTCAAGTGCAAATAAAGAACAGTGGAATACTAAACTGGGTTCGACATTGGCTTACATCCTCGGAAATACAGACGACGTCATTGAATTTGATCGAGCCAGAAAGAATGCCAAGAATCAAAGACAAGATAAGTTTTTGCTGGATAACTACATGCACAAACTTGCAATTATTCAAACTAAGGTATCAAAGAAGAAAGGAGAGTTGGAGAAGGACATTGCAAATTGGGAAAAGAATTATTTCATTTCAAACAATAATTTACCAACGTATGACAATCTAGTAGCAGATTCAGTCATGAAAGACAAACTGAAACAAATAGAAACTGCCAAAGTCATAATGAAATTGAAAGGTTAATATCAGTTTGTCATGTATATTATTAGCATGTATGTAATCTAAAAGCAAATGTTAGATTTATTTAGGTGATGTTTAACACACGGGACAGTTTTATTCTCAATGAAGATCGTTATCACATTTTGCATTGTATAAAATTATCTTCGAAATTATTAATAATAGTCCCGTGTATTAAACATTACAGACAACAAAGGAGTGATGTCTCCCACATATATAAATATAGACTGTATAGAAAATAGTAAACAAATTTTGTTAAAATATTCGTTAATTTAACTTGACTGACCTTTTAAATATCATTACAAGCCTTGTAAATACTTTTATTCCATACTAAACGGGAAAACGAATATAATACTTCGTTCGCTGCATATTTGTCTATTAAAATCAAAACGCTTCCCATTGTGTTTTATATGTGTGGGATACAGTGATTTAAACTACGGCAGTCAACCTCCCCACTAATATACCCAAATATGGCTTTAATGTCCAAATTAGGCAGAATCGCATTCCCGGTATTTTTATAATTCAGCGCGCCAAATGTTCTCAATGTGAATCTACATTATACTTTTATCACGCAAAATTACCATAGAATAGTGAATATATGGGGCGTTCTGTTGAGCAAAAAAGAAAATCAAGAAACTTGAGAAAGAAGCGTAAACGGGCTGAACGATACAAGAGCAAAAGAGAAGAGAAGGTGCAAACGCGAGTTGAGGCAATAGTTTGCGTGATACGGAAGGATTTCGATCAGCAGAAACGTATTGCCTCCAAGTATTACAACAAGTGGAAGCAGTGTATGCTAGACATTAATAATAATTTTAAAAAGTCTGAATCTTCAAAGGTAAACCTGCATTTCAACTTCATAGTCAATTTTATTTCAATAATTTTAATTGGCCATTCCATTTATTTATACATGCACAGTCACCATTTGAGCTTTGAGCGATGTTATTTTATAGTATAATATGCTTACAATTCAAACTTAAAAATATCATTCTTTCAATGTTAATGTTAACATAACATTGTTGAAATGGTGACTGTGTGCCTTTAAATCTGCGCACCACCCATATATTGAGAGATGGCCGGCTGGGAAGGGGGAGGGGTGTGGATCAGGGGCATAGGAGCATCAAAAGATTGGGGGGGGGGTGTTTTGAGGGGCATTTTTGGAATGAAAAGGGCATGCACCTGAAAATTTTTTCACGGAAATGTTAGCAACGGTAGGGGGGGGGGTGGGGAGAGGGAAAATAATTGCGATCATATAAAATGCAATCTGAACAACATTTTTCATGAAGGCAAAGGGCGCTTGCCACCGGAGAGAGGGCACTTTTTCTGTTTTCTGAAAACTCTCCCCCCCCCGGTTCCTACGCTCCTGGTGTGGTTGTTCTCACAGGGTTTCAGTTGGGTTTCAGTGATATATGGGGCGGGAAGAATAACATCCTAAATAGCACACCAAAAAAGTGAATTGAAAGGCCAAAGTGGTTCTATATTTTAAGGGATTATGTTTATGAAGGTAACTGTCAAGGGGGTTCATATACTAAATGGAGCATAACTAGCATGTTTACAAAGATGTATTTCTCTTTCGCATAAACACTTCGGTCACAGTACGTATATGTAACCTTTACAAATTAGATTTCAATTGACTTTTAAAATCTATATGAGAATGGTTAACAATATTTTTTCCTTTATATACTTTTTAATAGGTTTTGCCAGGACTACAAGTACAACAGCAAAAATCTCTTCCAAATATTGAGCCAGATGAACTGGAAAATCCTTCACCATGTATTGGCTCTGGAAGCTTTGGGCAGTGTCGTACATGGTACTATCCACGGTTTGACATAAACATTGTTGAGAAGATTATGCCAGATTCAAATGAGACCACGGTTTATAAAAAAGCACTGTATCAGCAAATGTTTGCCCATAGATGTGTGCCTCATGTTTTTGGAATAAACAATACAAGGAAGCCATATTCCTTATTTATGGAGTTTGTTGGAAAGGACCTTCAATCATTGACAATACACAAACTGTTGTATGACAAACAATCCATGGATATTATGGGAAGTATGACAGTGCCAGATTGGTTCAGAGTCTGTTATGACATTGCTAATGCATTACAATACATCCATGAAAAGGGATTCCTCCATTGTGATATCAAAACAAACAATGTTCTTGTGTCCCATCACAAAAATGGGTATTTAATTGACTTTGGGAAGGTCAAACAAATTGCATATGCACCAGGAAAGAAATATGCAAAGGTTTACAATTATATTGCCCCCGAAGTCCTGAATAGTCATCCACCAAGTCCTGCAAGTGATGTGTATTCGTTTGGAATCATTATAAAGGCCATCGGGGAAACCATTGGAGATAACACACTGCTTGAACTTGGACAACAGTCATCATCTGCAATTCCTGCACAAAGGCCAAGCATGATACGACTTCTGTCAGCCTTAAATCCATATACATATACAGGCAACACACTTGATAAAGGACAGAAAAAAAACTAAGATTAATTAACCTATTTACAGGACATACCTACCAACGGCAAGTTAAATTATCTGGCATTAGACAGAGTAAAATATTAAAGTGGGGTGCATTTGGGCACATTTCCAGCTAATGGGTCATTAATTAACACGAGAAATGGGCAGATAGTTTTGTTGACACATTAACTAACTGGCAGGACCATACTGTACCATTGACGAGTAAAATTGTGAGGCGTTAGAGTGTTAGACAGTAAAATACTAAAGCTGGGCACATTGCCAGCAAATGGGTTACACTAAGTAACTTAAAATTAATGAATTAAAAGTTTCAAACTAATTCATTAATGGTTGCAACATAATAAAACAAGAATTTCTAAGTTAACAAGATTTCACATTCTAAACACCTCTTGGTAATCAGGTCAAGTTTGCCATAATGATTACTTACAGTGAGCTATATAAGTATAAACCCATAACTATGTGCAGAGCAAGAACTTCTAAGTTGTCAAGATACAATGTGTCTTTGGGCAACTGATTGTCAAGATATTCTTGTCTTTCGGCAGTCAGTTCAAGCTTTGCAACATGGTAAAAAACGCATAATTACAGCTAGAATAAATTGAGAACCCATAACCAACATTTTAATCTATGTGCAGAGTAAGAACTTCTAAGTTGTCACGATACAATGTGTCTTTCGGCAACTGAGTGTCAAGATATTCTTGTCTTTCGGCATTCAGTTCAAGCTTTGCAACATGGTAAAAATGCATAATTACAGTACTGGTAAGGTAGCATAAATTGAGAACCCATAACCAACATTTTAATCTATGTGCAGAGTAAGAACTTCTAAGTTGTCAAGATACAATGTGTCTTTGGGCAACTGAGTGTCAAGATATTCTTGTCTTTCGGCATTCAGTTCAAGCTTTGCAACATGGTAAAAATGCATAATTACAGTACTGGTAAGGTAGCATAAATTGAGAACCCATAACCAACATTTTAATCTATGTGCAGAGTAAGAACTTCTAAGTTGTCAAGATACAATGTGTCTTTGGGCAACTGAGTGTCAAGATATTCTTGTCTTTCGGCATTCAGTTCAAGCTTTGCAACATGGTAAAAATGCATAATTACAGTACTGGTAAGGTAGCATAAATTGAGAACCCATAACCAACATTTTAATCTATGTGCAGAGTAAGAACTTCTAAGTTGTCAAGATACAATGTGTCTTTGGGCAACTGAGTGTCAAGATATTCTTGTCTTTCGGCATTCAGTTCAAGCTTTGCAACATGGTAAAAATGCATAATTACAGTACTGGTAAGGTAGCATAAATTGAGAACCCATAACCAACATTTTAATCTATGTGCAGAGTAAGAACTTCTAAGTTGTCAAGATACAATGTGTCTTTGGGCAACTGAGTGTCAAGATATTCTTGTCTTTCGGCATTCAGTTCAAGCTTTGCAACATGGTAAAAATGCATAATTACAGTACTGGTAAGGTAGCATAAATTGAGAACCCATAACCAACATTTTAATCTATGTGCAGAGTAAGAACTTCTAAGTTGTCAAGATACAATGTGTCTTTGGGCAACTGAGTGTCAAGATATTCTTGTCTTTCGGCAGTCAGTTCAAGCTCTGCAGTACTATAGTTAATTCACATTAATACAGTATATATAAATTAATAATCAAAATGTCAACAGTTACTAAATAATTGCTTCATACTGTATATTTAAACCTCGATTTAAACACAACTTTCAGTGTTTTGTAGAATTATAAATGTAAAGATATATTATTATTCCCATCATGTGCACATTTGTTTAAATAAATATTTTAAACGTTGTGGGGATTTTTGTCCCCACTTGTGTCGTTTTGATGCTTTTTAAATTTTGGTAGCAAAGGGACTTAATATACGCGTATTAATTTAATTTTTATTGAAAAATATTCACAAATATATATAACAAGTGTTCGATTTTAGTCTACAGTATATGACTACAATATAGAAATATACCACAAATGCTTACCTTCTTATGTAAGTGAAGTTTACCTCTTCAAAATCTTTATTCGTAAAGTTAGATCTCCAGTTAAACAATATAAATTCAATAAAAGCAGCGTGCCTAACTTTTGTCTCCCTCGAACGTCTGTGAGGGAGACTATAAAACTTTTCTGCACTCTGCATGCGTAAAGTTATGTAACCTGAGATCAGGCTATTTTCTATAGGCCTGAAGCCTGATTGCAGGTTACTCTCTACACAAGGTCATATCATAGTTCATCATGTCAGATAACATATGAATGAATAATAATAATATTTATTCAGGAAACCAACATCATAAGGATGGATGAATATATATAATATAGAGACTATAGGATACATGATGTGTCACGTTCCCAATTCGAGCACCTCGTGGGAAGAGTCGAATAGGAGTTCGTTTAGTGTTCAACCACGTCAGAGACCATAACTTTACACTTTAACTTTTAATAATCGTAGCGAAATGACATACAAATTTACATAAACATATATAGTCCTCAAATGCGCGGTGAAACTACATAAAAATAAAGGAAAAATACACGCTATAACACACGAATGGTAGACGATTGTTCAATGTCAAAAGTCTGACGACTTATGTTTATAATGTCCCCAAAATTTAACAGGAAAATATAAAATATAGCTTGTCTCTATGAAATCTGATGAAATACAACGTTCGAAAAACGTTATTCCCATTGCTAAGGCAATCAAACCTGTGCGAGTCCTGGGCTCCACCGTTCGTATATCGGTATATATATATCGGTTCGTATACGACTATTCCCGACAACCCGACTCATGCCACGTACTTCTCCGAGTCAACATCACACTCCTCACCCAAGGATATGCTATCCTTGTCATTGAGATCGTTGTCCTTCTCGGTTGGTAGCAACAACACTATTTCGCTGATAGGACGGTAGACTATCTTCCGTTTCCCTTTGCACACCATGATCTTGACTTTCCTCACTTTTCCATCTTCGCTCATTAATGCTTCTACTATCTTTCCTATGGCTCACTTGTTATGGGATACGTCGTTGTCTTTTACTAGGACTACATCTCCTCCAGAAAGGTTTTGTTCTCGGTTGCGCCACTTCGTTCTGACTTGGAGGTTTTGAAGGTATTCCGCAGCACCACCCCTTAACTTCCTTGTTCGGATTATCCATGGGCCAAATACGTCAACTCCTATGCTCGTGAAGGGTGGGCTTGGTTCAATTCGGTTCTTTGGAAGGTTGATCATATGCTGGGTGAGTGTTCTTTCTCTCAGTTTTCTGCATGTCACGCAGGAATTCAGGATTCTAGACACCATTCTGTGGCCGCCGCCGACCCAATAACCAGGTTGCCGTAGGGCTCCGTGTGTGATCTGACGGCCTTGATGGTAAACCTTGTGGTGATAATGACAGATCAACAACTCTGACACATGGTGTTTCTGTGGCAGAATTATTGGATGCTTCTCCTCAAACCCCAAATCTGATCGATGTATACGTCCTCCAACTCTGAGAACACTGTCTTTGTCTAGGAAAGGATCCAAATGAAATAGGCTGGACTTCCGTAACACCGTTCTTCTTTCTCTCAAGGACTGACGACTCTCTGGTTTGTTGCCACTCCTCCTTTGCAGTACGCTGATTTCGTCCGCGAAGGCTTCTTCTTGGGCTGTTCGAATTATCAAGATTTCAGCTCGTTTAGATGCGTCTAGGGTAGGACCGTCGTTGTCTCCGCTTTCGGTCGTCTCGTGATCGTGCTGTGACGTTTGTGGCTCCGACTTTATTTCGAATCTTTTCGCTCTCATGACGAGTTTTGCAATGGCTCGCTGAAGAGTAGACCATTCTGAAAACCGATCGAATCGTTCTGATCCTACTCCGAGGGCCCTCTGGGTGCTGGTGGCATGGACTTTTACCTCTTGTCTGACTTCTGGATTGCTCTCGTCGATATCTCCATCAGATTCATCGATTGTTGAGGTGGTAGGCGAGTTCGACTTCAAGAAGGTGGGTCCTCTTAACCAGTCAGACTCTTGTAGTACTTTAACTGTAATACCCTGTGTCGCTAGGTCGGCAGGGTTCGTTGATGTGTCAATATACTTCCATTGGCTGGGTTTGGATACATCTCGAATTACTTGGACCCGATTCGCTACGTAGATGTGGAATATTCTGATGTCGTTCTTGATATATCCGAGGACCACTTTCGAGTCAGTGTAAAAGGTCACGCTGTGGATTTCGATATCTAATTCTTTCGTGAGTTTCTTCACTGCTTGCGTCATCTATACTGCCGCACAAAGCTCCAGACGTGGGATGCTCGTAGGTTGGGTAGGTGCAACTTTGGATTGGCCAAACGCCAGGTTTACGCTAATTTCTCCTTCTTCGTTAACTTGTTTTAGGTACACAGCGGTCGCTATGGCATCTTTACTTGCGTCCGAGAATGCGTGGATCTCACTGCGGGCGACACAACCAAAGTTCCTTGGGTGGTAACATCGGCTAACAGAGACATTCTCGAGGGCAGGTAGTTAACTTCTCCAAGATTGCCAGCGTAGATTTGAGTCGTCAGGGAGGGGTTCGTCCCATCCAAGGGATTTATCTTTCTGTTTCTTCTTTCCCAGGACGACTAAGTGTTGTAGTAGAAGTTTTCCTACCAAGACAACAGGTGCAGGCAGTCCAAGAGGGTCGTAGATCGAATTTACTACGGACAGGTCTCCTCTTCTCGTAAATGGTTTATCTGGCAGGTTGACACTGAATGTCAGGACATTGCTCTCCAAGTCCCATTGCACGCCGAGTGTTCTTTGAGCAGGAAGGGCGTCTTTGTCGCAGGTCCAGATCGCGCACAATCGCAAATAAACTTCTTCACGTCCACTCTGTGTTCCTCCTCGCCGTCGTTTGCAGCTTTTCTCATCCCGAATGTAGCCACGGCTGGGCTAGGGCTGTTGCCGAAAAGGTAGACGGTCATCTTGTATTCGATAATCTCCTGGGATGGGTCATTGTCTTTGAACCATAAGAATCTGAGAAAGTCTCTGTGGGCTGGATTGACGTAGAACGAGTGGAACATTTGTTCCACATCACACATCACTCCAACGCTTTCTTGTCTAAAGCGCATGAGGACTCCCAGTAGACTGTTCATTAGGTTTGGACCAACCAGTAGCTCTTTGTTGAGAGATGCACCTTTGTACTCGCAAGATGAGTCGAAAACTACTCGAATCTGGTCCGGCTTTTTGGGATGAGAGATTCCGAAATGCGGGAGGTACCACACTTTGCCAGGCTTGACGCTTGTTTTATCGTCCGGGTTTGTGGGTTTGGCTTCTTGTTCTGTAGAGACGTCGCTTCGTTGGACTGGAACGGCATGTCCGCATTTGATTACCTTTCTGAGAAACTCCAAATAATCTTTCTCCATCTGGGGCTTTCTTTTGAAGGTACGCAGCAAACTCTGCAGGCGACTCATAGCTTGCTCCCGGTTGTTTGGCATCGTCACGTTCGGAGAGCGGAAGGGTAGCGGCATCTCCCAATTGCCAGATTCATTTTTGTGAAACTCTTTCTCCATAATATGAAGGAACTGGCGGTTAGAGACAAGCCGATTTCATTGTCTTCCGGAGTAGTTCGGTAAACGTCGCTCTTCGTTTTCTCTGAATGTTCCTTGATCTCGTCTTTAACTTCAAAGTAATTTGGACACGTTACTGTTCGAAATCATGGGTGGGTTTCGAGGTTGGCATGGGCACCTTTGTGCTGTATCCTGGGTTCGATGGCGGGTGTAGGTGATGGCAGCTGTATGACTGTACTACAGGCTGAGATGTGTACTGGTCCTCCAACTCTGTCCAGACACATTTGACCAGACACCGTCCATCCTAGCACAAGCTTTTGTGCCCAAGGTGCACCTTTGGGACCATTTCTGAAAGCCCTGACTTTCAACAATTCTGGGGCATCTCGGCCAATGAGGATACCGACCTTGGCTTCCTGGTCTAATGGTGGGATTTCTTTACTTACTTCCTCGAGGTGGGGGTAGTGCTTTCTCGTGGTTGGAGTGGGAATCTAGGTCTTGTCCTGTGGTACGTGTTCACACTCAATGAGGTTAGGTAACTTAGCGATTCTGCCACACATTGACTTCACGAATAGCCCAGATACTCTCCGACCATACTTTGTTTCTTTAGCACCACTACATGTCGTAAGAAGGTATTTTTGCTTTGGGCTATCGATATCTAACAAGTCTGCTAGTTCTGGGCTTATCATTGATGCATTACTTTGATCATCCATTATAGCATACACCTTGTGGGCGTTTTCCGGTCTGTCTTCTGCATACGCATCTACGAGCAGGATCTTACTGCAAGATAGTCCTCCTAATCTCCCCTGACAGACAGAAGTGCATCGCGGTTGTAAATCTTCGTTAACTCGCTCCTCGTCGTTATTTCTCTCCTCGTTTTCTTGCTTCTCGACCTTATCTTTGTGTAATATTGTTGGATGTCGTTCGCTCTTACACTTCCCACATTTCACGTTTTCCTTACATTGCTTCGCTCAATGTTTCCCGACCAGGCATCGGAAACAGAGACCGGCTTTCTTAATCCAATCAGTTCTTTCTTCCAAAGTCTTTTTACTAAAGGCTTTACACTCACCGAGTTCGTGTCCCTTTCTTTCGTGAAATGAACAGAACCTTTCGTTCTTATTGTCAACACCAAACTCTTTATCGTCGTTGATGTCCTCCGCTCTTGTTTTGAACACACGATTGTCTTTCGGTCTTTCTCTCTTTGGATCTCTGGGTCGTGGGTCGTTGGGGTTTAGGTGTTCACTAGCTACCATGTTCGGATGATTTTTCAACCTAGCTTGCTTATGAATCATTACCGAGAACTGGTGGAATGTGGGATAGAGGTCGTTGTTCTCTTCCGCGTACTTGACCACTTCTTTCTCCCATTTGAACCTAAGGAAACTAGGCAGGTTGTCAACAATGGGCTTTATAGCGTTCGGGTAGTTGAGGCAGGCTAGTCCCGATAAGGTGGTCATTTGGTGTCGACATCGTCACAGACGTTGGTGAATGCTTGTAACTTTGTCTTGTCTCGAGCGGTGAATTTGGCGGAATCTCTCAGTCTCTGGAGGAGCGCGTCAGTCAGAATGGCAGTGTTCCCAAACCGTCATTCCAACTCTTTCCAGAGTCCACGTAAGGTGGCTGTGGGGTCATCTTGTTGTCTCTTCCTGAAGTGGTTGACCAGATCCTGAGCATTTCCCTTCGTGTAGTTCCGTAGGTAAGCAATCTCCTGGGAAGGGCTTAGATTTGCGTCTTGGGTCATTGCTTGGAACGACCCTTTCCAAGGGTGGAACAAGGTGGCATCACCGTCGAACACATCAGGGTGGCATTTCGGTAAATTCTGACTGGCTAGGCTGGCTACTATCTGTTGGTTGGTTTGTGCTATTCCTTCGATACACTGGTTTGCAATGACAACTTCCGGGTGTGTGGTCAGCAGTTTATATATAGGTTGATTTCCTGCAAAGCCCGTGGGGATAAACGACTGGAATTGATCCTTTGTGACACCATCTCGTTTTTCTTCAGCTGGTGTGTTACTAAGTGGTGGTGGTTCTCCGGTGTGTTCATTGGTGGGTGGGGAAGGTCTGTCATTTTGGTCTTGCTAGGGGTTGTCTGGTTGGTGTTGTGTGTTCACCCACGACTGGGTTCGTGATCTGGCATCTTCGACACCTAACTGCTTCTGCTAGAATGGAAGTTGTGTCTTCTTCACGAATAGACTGTTCTATGGCTTTTAGCTTAGCGTCTGCTACTGCCTTTCTCTTCTCTGCCGCTAATATTGCCATGTCCCGTTCATGTTGTGCACGCATTTGTTCCCAATGGAATTCTTGTTCGGGTTCGCGTTGCGTTTTCTCACTTTCTTTTTCGGCCATTAATTGCTCGAATTTAGCTTCCTTCTGGGCTGCGGCAGCTTTGGCTAATGCCCACCTCCAGACGTTACTGGAGGTTGCAGATGTGCGTGATGACTTGGTGCTGCGTGTATGTTTAGAACTGATCGAACCTGTTTTGGTGGCAAGGCGACTTTGTTGGCTTTTTGCTTTGTTCATTGCGGTAGAAGCATATTTTAAAGCGGTTTGGGCATATTCCGTTACTTCAGTAATATGGGTACGGGCTTCACCCCACTTGTCTTGTTCAGAAAGTGTCTCAATGTCTTTGAGTATTGCTTGGTACTTGGTGTAAGCTTGTTGTAATGGTGCAAGGACAGTTTCTATCTCCTTATCCGTAATATTTTTCTCCAATGCGGTCAAGACAGTATCTGATGACATATATAATGATTTTTCTGCTTTATTTAGTTCAGTGCTTTTATTTTGTATTGCATTGTGAATTGCTTTTTGTGACAAAGTTCGTTGTCGTTTCTCCTCATTAACTGATTCTAGGGCATCTGAAGTAGACAAATCAATTTCTCCCTCCTGTTGGTGAACCGATGGGTTCGTGGAAGTCTCCTTAGATTTCTGTTCTTCAGAATCTATAGCTAGTACATTAACACTAGTATCCCCAAACCCCTTGGGGTTCTCCACGGTTGATCGACTGCTATTACAACTCATCTACACAAATTTCTCCACTTGCACTCACTATTTTCGTTGTTAAATACTCTCCAAAGGCGATTAAAACTTTCACTGTCGCGTTCCCAATTCGAGCACCTCGTGGGAAGAGTCGAATAGGAGTTTGTTTAGTGTTCAACCACGTAAGAGACCATAACTTTACACTTTAACTTTTAATAATCGTGGTGAAATGACATACAAATTTACATAAACATATATAATCCTCAAATGCACGGTGAAACTACATAAAAATAAAGGAAAAATACACGCTATAACACACAAAAGGTAGACGATTGTTCAATGTCAAAAGTCTGACGACTTGCGTTTATAATGTCCCCAAAATTTCTGTTCTGAATATTTCTGAAAATATTTAATTTCTGTTATTTCTGAAAATATAAAATATAGCTTGTCTATGAAATCTGATGAAATACAACGTTCGAAAAACGTTATTCCCGTTGCTAAGGCAACCAAACCCGCACAAGTCCTGGGCTCCACCGTTCGTATATCGGCGACAATTCCCGACAACCCGACTCACGCCACGTACTTCTCCGAGTCAACATCACATGATGCTACAGTATATACATATTTACAAGGAGTTAGTAAGTAAGTTCTTTTTAAATATACTGTACGATTTTTTTTCTGTGTTGGTGTTGTCATGTACTCAGGTGAATATGATATTTGTTATGTTACTCTGAGTTTTTATCCACACCAGGCGAACTTGAAAAATATGCCTGGCCACAGTGGGAATCGAACCTACAACCTTTGGAATACCAGACCAATGCTCTGCCAACTGAGCTACGCGGTCAGGATGGTTCAAGTAAGTGATATTTCGGAACAGAATCTAGTTCCTTCGATACTAACATTGGTATACCTCACAACATCACAAACATCATACTGTATGAGTATTATGAAAATAGATTTGAGAAGTTCATTTCTAAAGGTTCTTAACACCTTTCTAGTATTATAATCCAAATCGTTGTACTCTTAAATCATTGAGCACCAGTGTTCTCCCCTTGACGAGTAAAATGGTCTGGGGTTAGACAGAATAAAATAATAACGTAGTGCACATCAGGGCGCAATGCAACTCAATGGGTTAAATAGACACATGGGCAGATAGACCAGTTAACCCATTGAGCACCAGCTCTCTCGGTCTCCCCTTGACGAGTAAAATTGTCTGGCATTAGACAGAGTAAAATAATAAAGTAGGGCGCAATGCGACTCAATGGGTTAATTAATTTACAAGCCTGGTAAAGCAGTTTTTGCTTTCCCCAGTTTGCCTTTGGCATAGAGATATATATATATATATTGTCTCTGCATCTTGTGCTATATTAGTACCAATCATTCCTCAAACTATGCTATACCTCCCCCCCCCCCCAAACGCGGTTAATTTGGCATGTCCTCAGAACTGAAGAGAAGTTCACTTCATCTTCTTGATTCATCAGGATCCAGACACCTGGACGTCTTGTTTCTGAATACCATTTGACAACTGCTGTTCTTTCCTCATTGTCAACTTGTTGAACCAAAGCAAACCACTCCTGGTTTTCTGCACCCAAAACACAAATTGTGTCTTCAGGTTGAGGGTAAACTGGAACATGCACTTCCTTAACAAGGGTTCTTGACGTCCACACAAAGATAGAATGATGGATTATCAAGATCAGAAGGTTCAGGATACATCATAACCTTTCTCCTAATTCTGCATGTTGGCTGAATGCTGTCCCTTACATAGTTCCTTGCAATAAGTTGTGGTGTCTGTGTCCAAGGATGGTAGATAACATTTCTATTGTTTTAGGGTTGGGATGAAGTACTTGCCATTCCCAAAAATAAAATATTTACCATGAACTGGTCCAACTTGGAAGATGTCAGAAATCTCCATAATCCAATCTTCATCTGCTGAACCAATTTTGCAGACAGTCCCTCTGCTTATTTGATCTGTATCACCAACTGCATCCTTGATGGCTGGATGCTTTATGGACATCAATTGATTTGGCATAGCTTGCACATGAATACCAGAACGTGTAAAAAACCTGTTAACATCAGCAATGATGGTATCAGAGAACATCTTTCTATCCATATGTCCCACAGACACACCATAGGATATTGCATGTTGCACTTCGGGTGAAGGATCTTGCAATTGTTGCATATCATGCAACAATGATTTACCTGCAGAAAATGACAATTCGTGCAGCATTATTGGTGAGGTTATTTCTTGCAGGTCAAACTGGTATTGTGTAACATCATTACCATATGTGGATAATGGGCCATTTTTTGCTTGATAGTCATCAAGAAAGTTCCTAATGTTCTCTCGGACTGCAAATGTCTTGTCTAGACCTTTGGCATTGTGTTTCTGACCTTTGTGCTTTAGTATTGCTCGTTCGTATAGCTCACACAAGTAATTTTCCATACTTGAGTGGCGCTTAATGTCTTCTGCAACATGGACTGAATACTCCAAATTTTCAGTACAGATATGAAGCCCATAAAACTCTTCTGCTCTGATCGCATGACTTCATAGTAGTTTCTCAAGTCGTTCAATGCGGTGATTTTCCCATCCTGTTACTTGTAGTTGTGTGCTGTACAACATTTGAACAGCATCACACAGTAGCATATAGCAATCATAAGCCTTTGAGGGTATTCTTTCAGCCAATACCTCTTTTGCAACACTGCTAAATTTGTGTAGAATGAGAATAAAACGGAATGTGGAATACAATACACACAACATAATTATTTCACTCATTCTTTTTGGAGTCATACAGACAATTCTGTTGCAATGTTATTTATTCATTTGCGGCTTTACATGCTCCCTACAGGGTGACTCGCTACACTTTTTTAAAATTAAACATTTTCTAACTTGGATATGAATTTCTGGAGAATTATTATTTGAAGAGTGTCTGACTGGTTTTACGCAATAACAAAGGAGTTCAAAATTCTCGCTACTCCTAACTGCTATTGCTATGGCAACACAGACATCATAACAGAAGGGATATTTTATGTTTAAAGTAACTCAACTTGAAGAAAAGTTCAGTTACCCCATTTTTTATTTCATAAAATGATTTCTTTTAGTATTTTGAATTATTTTCATGATTTAAAAAGTTCTGTAATGGCGAAAAAATTATTATCTATAAAAATTAGAATAATAATTCAAACAGAAATTATTTTATGAAATAAATGGGGGCAATCGACCTTTTTCGAGTTATATTACTTTTATTATTAAACAAAGTATCTGCTATGTTGTGACATCATTGTTGCCATAGCAATGGCTGTTATGAGTAGATGTGTGTTAATTGTGTTATGCCAGTCAGATACTCATTGTTGTAAAACAAATAATAATTCTCCCGAAATTCAGAGCCAAATCAGAAAATCGTTAATTTTTAAAAAATGTAGCGAGCCACCTTAAGTATTGTTAACACTTTTTGCTTTGTTATAGTCACACCAATTCTGCATAGCACAATCATCAGTGATGGCTACATGTAATATCTGTCAAAAGAACTTCCAGTGGCATAGAACAAGTACAATTTAAGGTACATGGTATATTACTGCATGTAATTCATGCATGCACTATAGACTTATGTTACTGTACCTTTTAAATACTATAGACTTATGTTACTGTACCTTTTAAATTCATTTGACTTCCAACTTCCTAGCTTGTCTGTTAATGATCTAATTCCACCAACACCTTTTTCTTTTTCTTCCTTAGTCCAGTTAATACACTCGAGGGCATGCTTGAACTCTTCATGATCAAGAAGTCCACCAACTTCAGGATCTCTGGCATTGACTTCTTCATCAGCATTCTCTCTAATATCTGCCCACATCTTGTCTATGAACTCCCTTTTTAGCATGTTAAAAGTGAGGTGCATTCGATCAATACTCATGTCCAAAACTGGATTGAACTGGTACAACTTGTACAATTGGAACAGAATGCTGACACCAGAAACCCCTGTTGCTGCCTGAAGTTGTTGTCGCTGAGCCTTTGTAGGTGCTGCATCTACTCTTTCCATTTTCCAGTTGCTAGATAGCTGTTCTAGGAGCACTCTGGTTTCGATAGCGCTGACCAAAATTGCCATAATAATAATGACGTTTGCATGGAATGTACAAGCATTAACCAAACAACGTCAGCAACCAATCCTGCCACCTGAAACAGAACAGAAACAATTAACTGAATGTTATTTTGTATTATTTCAAATTTTACTATTCAAGTCTATACATCAAATGCCTACAATAATAGTTTTTTGCTAATTTTTGAGTATATTTCATATTCCTAAATCATAATCAGTATCTGCAAGGTTGACTAATGACAAGATGGCAAGAAAACTTTCATGGTTGTTTAGATGACCCTATATATTAGACACCATATTACATGTAATTGGACACCATATTACATGTAATTCCTTTATAATGCCTTTGGACACCATATTACATGAAATTCTGCCAATAATTGTATCGTTCGTTTTTTTTGTTAATTTGGAATCATAATTACATGCAGTTAAAAACGATCGATCAGATCGATTGTTGCAACATTGATGTAAATTTTTGCCCACATTGTTCACAGTTGTCAACAATGTTGAAGAGTATTGTTACACCAAAGCAATATTGTTGACAAGTGTGAACAATATGGCATGAGCATATAACATATTGTTCAATAATTTTAAACAACAGGCTCATAATTTTTACACCTGTACATTAGTATTGGGAGAAAATGGGTTAACTGCTGTAGTGTCACCAATATACAATTATTTTTCTGTTGGATCACACACTGCTATACCTGTCACGTTTTAATTACTATTTTTAGAATTTGTAATTTCGTATTCTTTTGTATTTTAAACTTTACCCCAATCCAAACCCTAACCCTTATTCCAAGCCGAACCCTAATCTTAATCATAACCCTAATCCAAACTCTAATCCTATTAACCCTAAAAGTCTAAAAATAGTAACTGTTCCTAAATCGTGACTCATATGTATACATACTGCACATCATTCAAGATCGCCTGAATTTCAAACCTTATATTTCACAACACTATTTTCTAATAATATAAATTTCATATATACCTCCTGCATACAAAATCATTTCCTGATGAGCTTTCAAATCAGCAGTACCCAGCAACAATAATGATCGAATAGTGTGATTTTCTTGAGCAACAGAAAAATTTGAAAACTCAATGGTTTCAGGAACATGTACTTGAATGCCTGTCAAGAAAAGTTAATTTATTTCATCAATCAAAGGCTGATGGAAAGCATAGATCTTGTGCGGGATACCTTCATTCAGTAAATGTGAAGATATAAAGCTGTGCACACGAAGATTTCTTCCATGGAGTCTCATCTCCTTTCTTGTGCATGCATTGCTAATATGCAATGCAGCTATTCCTCTAGATGTTCTGTTAAAAGCATTAAAGCCATCATGAAAAATGAAAGCTTGGTTTAGTTTATTTCCCTTTACCATTTGTACAACGTGTACAAATTCAAATGAACATTCGGTACATGATAATTTGACATAATCATCAGGTAGAAGTCTGTTCTCATCAGAAGCTTCAACCATTTCATCCAGCGATATTATGTTCGAACAATTTGGGCAACAAGTTGGCAAACAGCTCTCTCTCTCTTCATCCCAGAAGAAGGATAGTTCACGGAATCGATAGCCATGCCACACTTCCTTATAAGGCACGGTGATGTTGTCAAGGTTAACCATTCATCCCGTTCTTCCCAATGCACCAAGTGGTCATTTAATTTATTTGCAATCGAGTCCACATTTAAGCCAAGAACATAATAGTCAGTACATTTATCTCTTACTTTGTCACAATTAGGGCATTTGTCTTCCAAAACAAGTGTTACATGATCTGTTCCACAGCAGACTTTGTAGTGTTTTGGGTCTTTATATCCCAGTTTCCTTAAGAACATCATTACCATGTACCATGTCTTGTGTGGTATGTGATTATCTTCGGTAAATTCATACAAATTACATAATTGGCTTAATGTCTCTTCCTGTGACCAACCATATTTTATTTTTGCATCAAGTATTCTCAAGATACACTTTTCCATCTCCAGTTCTATCTCATCTTCACTGAAATCACTATTGCTACCCTCACCACTATCATCACCTAGCGTATCCCTTAAATTTGTTCCCTTCACTGTATCACAATAACATCAATTTCCGCATTGTTTGGCGCTTTACGGTCAAACAATGTAACTTAATAGAAGCACAATAATGTTATGAGTTACTTGAAGCGGAAAAAGTATGTATAATTATGTATAGTATGTCGCGAAGGGCAATTCATTTCTGACAAGGTTTTTTGCATATGTTTAAAGCCTTACAGTCAAAATACAAAAAGTGTCCCGCTTCTGTAATCTGTTGCGTTTTCCTGTAATACCGGTTAATTAACTGCCAATCATTGAAGCCTGTTCACAAATACAGTAGCGACTACAAAGGGTGTGGCGTGCGAGTCGCGACTTGCCAGTTTGCTATTACTATTACTGTAGCTCAGCCACTAAGTATAGATTTTCAGGCTTATTATTTACGTTACACTTACTGTATAAACATTATGGAAACATTCTCCACAACACCTACAAAAACCTGGCTTAAAGCCTTGAATATGGATCACATATACGATGTATTTGAAAGGCATGGTTTCACAACTGTTGGAAGTCTGAAAGAAATGCGTGATGAAGATCTGCAATTGATGTTTAGCACTCCTAATAAATTAAAACTTGGCGAGCAAAGAGTTTTGGAAGCCAGACTTTGTGCATTGAGAAAGGTAAAAGCATATATATATATATATATATATATATAATATAGTCTTGTGGTTTATAGTCTGTGGCTAATTTTCATTCGTAAATATCTGCATTTTAAAGCATTAAAGTAATCGGCATCTTTATTTGCATAAACCTTCGGCTTCGTACGTTTGATCAACGTTGCATGTTTCAGTAAACCCGTTGAATAATAATTTTTTTACGTTACGTAGGAAAATGTTCCGTTACACGAGACAGAAACATTACCATTGGAACAGGTATGCTATTTGCAATACTTCAAATCTATATTTTGAATGATATAATCAACTTTGTAAGATAAAAAGTTTAAACAAATTCACTGCATGGCTTGACTATCACACTATTAATTATTGTGTTTGTACACTTGTAACTGTAAATGTAGGCGTCTAACTCTGGCACTAGTGTTGATGCACATGGACGCAACAGCAACATTATTGCTAATAAAGCAGCAGAGTTCGAAGTGAAGAATCAAGACCTATCAAATAAATTGGAGTCCTTACAGGAAGAGCTACACTTGCTTCAACAACCTGTGAAAGAACTGGAACCCTTAGGACGAAGTGCGACAGTTTGCGGAAATTGTCATCATAAGGGGCACAGAAACGACGCTAGACACGCTTGTGAGTATGTATCATGCGTTGGGTTTCATTATTGTGGACAAAAAAAATTACACCCAGAGCATACACAAAAAGTAAGCGATATTAAAAGGCAAATAAAGAAGTTGGAAAAGGATATTGGTAAAGCTAAGGAGTCGTTGAAAGTCGTATCAGAATTTGAAAGTAAGTCTGAAGCTTATTTTTTTCAAGAAATGACACCACGCCTGAAAATACTTGATTGGAACCGTTACCAAAACAAAGCAAATTTGTTTAAAGATCTTAGAATACTGCAAACTGCTTTCAATTGTAAAGTCCCCACGAAAAGTGCAGATGACAAGATTTTTTTAAAAAAACGCTCTCCAGCGTGAGCATGCCAAAATAAACCAAACAAGCGGGAAATTTGTTATTAATGATCAGTATGACGAGACAAAAGTTAGCCCAATTAAATATAGCAGAACTGGTCGAAAACGGATGCTTACTTATGGTAACGATAATGGTAATTCTATTTTTGACGAAAGTGATTCAAATATTTCCTCATCACCATCGGATAGTTCGTCTTCGTCAGAAACATACGAAAATTACAGAGGTAAAACTAAAAGTAAAAAGAGAAAGTATTCGCATAACTATAGGAAGCAAAAGCGAGACTATAGACAGAAGGGTAAGAAGAAACTTCGAAAACAGGAATCCGAAACCAGGCATCAGTCAAATTTCTGCTCAGTCGATTTTTGACAATGCCCATGGTCTTGACAATATCAACCCTGGTCCAAGTAAAGCAGTAATACAGGCTATTTATGTTTCGGACTCGCCTCGTGGAAATCCAAACAACCCAGCTTCATATACTGGCGCTTTTGCGGTCCCGCGAAGTCCAATGCCAAAAATATTTGTTAGTCAAAACAGCGAAGGCGCAGTGCAGTCACTGCCGCTAAACACGCAAACTGTAATAAATGATTTTAGTTGTACTAATTCTGGAAATTTAGTCGATACTACGCGCCTAAATATAGATACGTTATTATTCGCCGCGTCTCTAAAAGACAAACATTAAGACTACAAATGTTGACTGTTTATTTTTGCATAACGTGTATTGTCGAACTGTATTCACATATTCCCGTTTAGTTGTTTTTGAGTTTTGACTCTTTAATTTTGACTAATATTGACATTGTCATTGCTTGTAGTTGTAATATATATATATTGGTCTTGCATATGTAATGATTTAATAGTATTAAAAATACCCTCATGCATGTCCCTGGACTTTCGTTCAGTTATATAGAACTTAGAAGTTATACTCTAATATACAAAGGATTTTATGCATCACAACAGTGAGTCGTATATAGATTGTCTAGCAGGGTTTTTTTACAGGATTTTCTGTATGTAGTAAACTGACTTTATAACGTTATTTAAACTCAATATTAATATAAGTTATATAACAAATTTATAATAATTCACTGTGGATGTACCCACAATGTCGGAAAACACGACGTGAAAACACTGGTGTGACATTTTCAAGTGCTAAGGATATCGCCAATTCTGTGAACATTTCTGTGAAGAACATTTCATAACACGGAAACAATACTCGCAAGTATTTAGGTCAGGTGAATATGGCGGCTGAAACAAAACACTAAATCCATGTAAACGAGCTAAATCTTGCAACATTTCGTTAGCTAATCTACCATGGTGCATACCGCAGTTATCCATGACAATTTTGTCTCCCCTTTTTATTTTTGGATTTCCATGAAGATCTCGTTGTTGTGTACATTCTTCAATGAAATTAATTAATTCCAGTTGATTCGACGCACCTCTTAAAATGCTAAAATGATCTACGCCGAACATACTGTGAAGTAAGTTAACAGTAAACGTTGCGTCGGAAGCGTAGCATTGTAATTCGTAGGCGGGTGTTACACGAGCTGAATGGCCATACAAACGGTTTCCTGATGTTCTTACGACAGAACTTTCATCGAAGAAATGCAACGTTGTGGGATCAGTATTTGACATTATTGCCATATATTCGAAAATCCTCTGTTTTACATCTTCTCTTTCAGATTCCGCCGGAATTACCTGAAGTTTTTTGTAAGTGTATCCCAACTTATCCCGAATTATTCTGTTTATTGTTGATAAAGCAGGCACAGGTTCTGTGCCCAGGTTTAGCAACTCTTGCTGAATTTCCTGGGCTGTTATGCTAGGTTGGATTGATTTAGAATATTCAATAAATTCAACAGTGTCTAGATTGCTAACAATTTTTGTTCTTCCTGTTGATCTACCAGGTGAGATGGAGTCAGTAATATTTTTTGAAATTATTTTCTTACAAGTTTTAACATCGACTCTTACTTCTCCAGCTATTTCTGAATATGATAGTCCTTGCACAAATAGATCACTTATTTTGCTTCTTACTTCGTTAGAAATTGGTTTACCTGGTGCGTAAATACCACCTTGCGAATTTGTTTTGTACATTTTACCACAAGATTTATATAAATAATTACTGTATTTGAAGTTCCCTACAATTGAAATTACCGCGCTTCTGTAACCGCTACTGTATTTGTGAACAGGCTTCAATGATTGGCAGTTAATTAACCGGTATTACAGGAAAACGCAACAGATTACAGAAGCGGAAGTGGGACACTTTTTGTATTTTGACTGTAAGGTAGCAACATCCCAAATAATATGATATTTTTCAAAATGTTAAAATTTTTCAAAAAAGATGTATTATTTAACAATTATTCGCCGAAGGCGAAGTGATTACCAGTGAATATTCACCGAGACGAAGTCGAGGTGAATATTCACCGTAATCACTGAGCCTGAGGCGAATAATTGTTTTAGTATAAATTTTTAATGAATAAAACAAAATATCCGAATATCAGTTCAATTAAATTTCAGAAATAAAACTGTTTTCGGCCTGTTCATTAATAGTGTTGCAGTATTTCTTGTACGCACACGCTTTCAAAATGGCTTCTTGTGTGACTTTATTGCTTTATTACAAAGTTGTTTTTCTCGATTTCTGCTTGGAATATAAACACAATAACGGAATGACTCTTTCACCAGACTTAGAATTAAAAACAGTTTCTGTTTAGCATTAATTTCTTCAGGAAATAGCTGAGGAATTTGGTAAAATGAAATGTAAAACTATATTGTTTGAAATAAAGTTTTAATAACACTTTTTACTTTACAAGTTTCGAAAACACAATACATGAGCGGTCCGAACACCATACAGCACAATGAAAACATGACATATCAAAAGAAATAGTATCGTACAAATTGGGAAATCTATAGCATACAAAATAAAATGGATTTTAAAGAATATCACGGCAAGGTTTTTCCCAAAAGTCAGGATGGTTTTTGCTATTTGTTTGAAGTTAATGTTTCGGAGTTTTAAATAAGTTTTAAATTGTCCGTGAATATGATTGACACAGTAAAATAATAAAGGAATCCTACCTTTCAAGTTAAATACAACATTTTGTGCTTCTTTCGTTTTCTGGGGACGATTTTTTTCAATATTTTGTCGATTTTGAAACCAAATTTCACATGAAATTTGCCGAATCATTCTTTTTGAAAAGCATTATTTACTACCCAGGTGGTAAATAATGCCTCAGATTTACTAGTCAGCTAGCCAATCAGAACGCGCGAAAGCTCATTTGATATGCAAAATTTATACTAATACTTCTTACAACATAATAAAACTAAGATCAGTGTTAAAATATATTTTTCACACATAAATTACGGTTATTTTGCTCATGAAGAGACCTTATCAGGTTGTTTATCCTCCTTAGCAACGGATTCAGACCTTAGTTACCAGTGTTTAGTTCAGTGGGAATGAAAAGAATCCTTGCCAAAATGATTTTGTAGCATCTGTAGCATTGTTGAAAACCAGCCAATCACAGACCTTCTGTTGCATAGCAACAAGGCAGCCTTTCTAAATCAGAGTAGAGTTGTTGAATTTATTGCCTGATTTCATCCATTAAAATCTCTCTTAATTTTTGGCCATCTGCCTTTGAATTTGCATGAAAAGATAAGAGAAACATTTTTTATTGTGATAAATGTAATAATGGGTAACAAGAAACTGTCTGGGAGGAAGAAAAAACGAAAGTTTAGTGGCATAGTAGCGAAGCAAAAAATTCAAGATGGCGGCAAGGACTTGGTAGACAAGACAGCCAGTCAAGTAGCTCTGATTTGAACACTTCTGCATCGAAACGGAAGCTTTCTGATGTAGTCCCAGATGTTGAAAAGCATTCAGAATGCCTCAGAGAAGGTTATATTTTTAATGGATGTGTCAATTCTCTGCGAATATTTGTCCAGAACTGCCGTTTGTAACGAATGTGAAACGCCTGTACAGTGTGGCATAAATTTGGAGGACAGTCAAGGATTTGCCCACAATTTTGTTTCCTACTGCGAGAATTGTGACTCTAAGACTATCCTTTTTAACTCCTCCAAGAAAACTGAAAGAACTGAGATTGTTAAAGGGAAGAAAACTCCTTTTGAAGTCAATAGTAGAATGGTATCCTTCGTACGTGGAATAGGTAAGGGTTACACTGCACTAGAAATCTTTTCAAAACATTTGAACTCACCACCTCCAATGACTGCTGCCAACTACGGCAAGCGGCAACATGCTGCTTCTAAGGCTGTTGCTACTGAATCAATGGAGGCTGCTGCCCAAGATGTGTTGAAGGAGGGAAGGGACTGTGCAGTCTCATTTGATGGTACATGGCAACGGCGAGGCCATGCAAGTCATCATGGAGTTATATCGGCCATCTCTGTTGATACTGGTAAGTGCGTTGATGTGGAAATCCTCTCCAATATTTGCAAAGGATGCCAGCATTGGGAAAAGGCTGATAAGAATTCTGATAAGTATTTGCAATGGAAGGCAGATCACAAGTGCTCCAGCAATCATGTTGGCTCTGCTGGCGCAATGGAGTCGGTGGGTGCATTGCGCATATTTACCAGGTCTGAAACAACACGAGACCTCCGATATACCAAGTATCTTGGTGATGGTGACTCATCTTCCTTCAAGACTGTGTCAGAAAGCAAGCCATATGAAGATATTGACAACAAACTTGAGTGTGTTGGACATATCCAGAAACGGGTTGGCACTCGTCTTCGAAATCTTCGTAAGGATTATAAGGGAAAGAAACTGTCGGACAATAAAGGTATTTCAGGAGCAGGGAGACTGACAATCCAAAGGATAGACACATTACAGAATTTTTATGGTATGGCAATCAGACAAAACAAGGGAGAATTGGTACCTATGCAGAGAGCAGTACTTGCCAGTCTTTACCATGTAGCCAGCACCGATTCAAATCCACACAACATGGCATGTGCCTAACTAATTCGTGGTGTAAATACAATAATGATCCAGAAAATTACAAGCAAAAGCATGGATTAGCAGATTGTTGAGCAAGCATGGATTAGCAGATTGTTGAGTTGCTTGAGCCCATCTATGATGAACTCAGTGATCCATCCCTCCTTGTAAAATGCCTCCACGGAAAGACCCAAAATAACAATGAATGTTTGAACAAGCTAATCTGGGATCGCTGCAGTAAGGAAGTGTTTGTTGGCAACTTGTGTTTTTTTGCCCGATTTACCATACTAGGCAATCTCTAATAACCAATAATGGTGTAGTTTTTACATTGTAACATTTTTTATTATCAATGTCAAAACTGAACCACTATTAACTTTCTTTTAAATATTCAATGTCATAGGCTGGCAACAGTAATAGTCAAAGTGATGTAAGATTTAATGGTGCTACAACTGATACCAAACCTGTTGTTATCGACTTGACTAGTAGTCAATCTCCAAAGAAAAAGACCTCGAGAAAAAGGTAATTTACATAACTGGGAGTCAACCCTTGTTAATTAGTAACTATTTTCGGTAGGATGAATGGATTGTTGTGTCGGTGACATAGAGAGAGAACAGACCTGTTGTGCCTAAAAGTGATCAGCATATATCCGGGAGGGGTGGATAGCGCTTTTGATGCGATTTGATTGGTTGCCCAGCTCCGTATATCCTTGCATTATCCACTGGTGAATAATTGTTAATTATTACATACCAATAGTAACAGTTTATGTCAGACGAGAGCATATAATGTGAAAGTGACAAAATTCAACTGCTTCCTGACAACAGCTCTTAGCAGTTTATTCAATGATGAATAATATAATTGTCAAGTTATAAAGCAAAAATTATTGAAATTATTGGTCCACAAAACATGCCGTTTCTTTAATGTCCCAGTCAATTAATATACAGAACATATATAAGTAGTATATTTTGCCCATTACAGTAGTGCATGAAAAACATGCTTTGAAACTGGACATTTTAGTTGAATTTAACTGAATGAAACCGGACAGAAAAATTCTAATGGTTTGATTTTTCAGAATTTCAAAGGTAAAGAGAGAGTTTGTCCAGAAGAAAGTTCTTCCAAAGAAAGTGATGGAACAACCAGAAAGAAACAACGAAAGATGTCAATTTGTACATGGGACAATGTCAAAACGCAGTCGGTTCACTAACTCCCAGAGGGAATAGATGGGCCGCATATTAAATTAAACCGTTTTCTACAGGCGAAACAAAATCTGTAAGAGATGGAAGAAAGACTGTCCAACAAGTTGGAAAGGTCACATCTGTGTTCGATTTTTTTCAGACTGTAAAGGCTCTTATCATTGTACAGCACATGACTGCCCTTTTAAGATTTAGTACAGTATAAAAAAGTGTGATAAAAAGATCACATGTAAAGGATGTGGCAGAGAAGAATTTGTTCATTGCAGCGCCCACCGGTACTTGAGCTATGTGAAAATCAACGTAACGATGTATCACATCTGGCAACACACATGTCCCATTACATCTATAACCAAAAAGAAAGATGCCAAGAGTATTGAGCAATTGGTTCGTAACAATCCCAACATTAAACCTTCTGAAGTTCAGTCTGCCATTACTCTAACCACAGTTCAGCAGCAGATGGACTGGGCTACTGTTGAAAAAGAAGCTGCTTCAACAATTGATAAGAAACAGATAAGTACAGTATCATTAAACAAAGGGTGAAGGGGCAATATTCAACCATTCAGGCATAATTTTAAGGCAGTTGTGGCTTTCAAAGAGTATTGCGACAAGAACGATACATTATATGTGTATAAAATTAACAGTAGGAGAGGCAATCCAGACAAGCCCTCCTTTGTGTTCAAGACAAGCATTTTAGAGACATTACCTTCATGGTGGTAAGTATGGATGCTGGTGGAGATATTTCTTCGATGGCAAGCACAATCATTGTCCATCCAGATTACGTTATGTTAACCGCAAGTGTTTATCATCCCTTGCTTTGTAGGCAGATACCTCTTGCAATCATGGAAGTTGAGAAAGAAAACACCACAAACATTGATGTAGCTAAAAAGCCATTGAAATTCAATCCAATAGGTAGGTGTACTGATATGGCTAGAACAAACCTGTCAGGAATTTATAAGGTTGTTGGTGATTCTGTTCAAATCAAATCTTGTGAATTCCATTTCAAGGATCACAGAAACAACAAGGTTAAAAAATGGGACCCAGATAGTGCAGGTGAATTAAAAATCCTGTGTAATGATCTACCGAACACAACAGAAAATGCATACATATGAACAAATTGATTTTGTGCCACGTCAAAATGTCTTGTACAATTTTAGGTGGATGTTTCAGGGTTTCTAGAGTCAGGGATCTTTGCATAATTGACAGTTTGCGAACCTTTGCACAACAGAAGATGCATATAAATGATTACAGCAAAAGGCAGAAACTTATTTAAAAAACCTGGTGTCATAGTGGCATGCAAGGCAATTGCTTTATATTCCATGTGTTTGCACCTAGGGATGCACAGAGGTGAGTCAAGCAGAGGTTATCTTAAATGCCTTGATTCTATTCTTTAAGATCACACATGGTTTACTGAAAACAAGCGCCTCTCCAGTTATTCAGAGTTCTCGCAGAACCACTCGCTCAAATTCAAGCAACACAGTCAAGTATGTCATCCCCAGATGTAAAGCAACCAGCTACCAGAAATCCTTCCTCGTTAGAAATTCCAGAATATGGAACACACTAATAGATGCAATAGACCTTCATACAAACAGTCTAGCTGTATTTAAACCATGTTTACTTAATTATTATTTTACCTCTGTTGACATTACTTATAATCCTGAAAATCTGCAAACATTTAGATCTTTATGCTTGAATTGCAACTGTGTTCGTAGTTTAGCGTCTCCAATACTTGCTGCTGTTGAAAATTTCACTGCTCCTGCTATGCTTATATAGTTGTTAGCATGCATTGATGTGTTCAATTTCTTCTCAGCGAGTGCATGTTATTATCATAGCAGGTTCAGTTGCCGTAGCTAGCTAAATACTTAGTTGTATAAATGCACAAAGTTACTTGTTTTCCTATTTGATGTTAACATATTGTCCTTGGGTTCGCAGTAATTGGCTAATCGCTGTTGCAAATACCCTGCCATGTAGTCTATTTGGCTAATTTATTAAATTATTACTTTGTAATAAGACTATCTGGCAAAGTTAATAAATTAGCACTAAGCACAACAAGAAATGTTGTTCTTGCTCTAAACCGATCCAAACAATTCAAAAATTTTTAGAATGTAATAATTTGTTTCATGCTCTGCCAGCATCCACAAAGTCACTCAACTTAAACACTATCAAATGATAATCTTGAACTTGGTGAGAATTACTTTGAACCTAAACAACTTTTGCTGCCACATTATGAAGCTAAATCTACCCCCACGTCTTCGTCTAAGCTCTTCACAACTCATGAAACAAAACGAGACAGCAAAGCAGTTGCTACTAAAAGAAAACAACTGAGTTTAGTTGAATTGCTCCAAAAGAAAACAATTAAGAAGTCCCACCAACAGGTAGCCTCATCAGTGAATATGTTACCTTCCACAAGCTCAGCCAGTGAAAGTAAAGCTGTGAAAACACCTGCTGCGATCCCACCAGACCTAACAATACAAGATAGGTGCATCATCATCCAACATGGCAGGTGTTTATGTCCATACTAGCTCTGATAATTGCTTAAATAACAGCTTTTCCAAATGGAATTTGGATGAAATTTTTTAATACAGAGTTAGAAACTGCTTTACCTATGATACGAAGCGTATTAGATGGATGGACAATTACGAACTGTTGAAAATTTTTACTAAATGTGCCATCAAACAACCAGGCATATGGTCGTCACCTGGCGGCAAGAACAAGAAGTTTACTGGTTCCAAGTTTGCATACACTTTGAGGAGGGGTGTGTATTTATGTTAAGAACAACATCCCCTGCAAATACTTGGAATTCTGTGACCAAGATAACATCGAATCTATCTGGGTGTCAATGCGTCCTCATAAACTACCAAGACATATTACATCAATTATTTTAGCTGTTGTATACCATTCCACCAAAATTCCACAAGCCAAGAACAATATGCTAAAAGAGCGAAATATGAAATTAGGTCTAACTAACCCAATGCTTTAATCATAATAACTGGGGATTTTAATCACAAATCAACAGGCCTTAAAGGTGAAAGATATAACCCAGGGAAATCAATTAACCAAATTAGTAAAATTTAAAACTAGAGATTCCAGAATACTTGACTGGTTTTTGATGAATAGACCAAAATTATTGTCATCACAATTACCAAAAATTGGATCATCCGATCACTATGCAATATCTAAATCAGCTGATATCCGTGAATATAAAGGTAAAGTTAAGAAGATAAAGACAAGGGATATGAGGGACAGTGCTTGGCGAGTATTTGGGAGATGGATGGTCCAGAAGGATTGGAGTTATGTTTCAAATATGGGCTCATGCCAAGACAAATACAATAAGTTAATGCAGGAAATAAATTGGGCTTTGAATATGTTTCTCCTTGAAAGAATTAAAAAACACCCCAATGATCGCCGATGGGCAACAAGCAAGCTCAAAAAATGAATTTGTAAAAGACAGAACACCCTTTTCCGATATGGAAAGAGCTCACTATATAAATTCTGGAGGAATAAAATACAATTGGAAATCAAGACTATGAAGAATTCCTTTTATAATAACAGAGTCAATGATTTAGAATACACATATCCAGGTATGTGGTGGAAACAAATCAAATCCCTTTCGAGTCAAAATATAAAACAGGAATGGTACCACCAATTCTTTGGAGAGTCCGAAAATATTGAGTCCCTTGCACAGAAGATAAATGATTTCTTTACTGGTCTAACACAAAATTTTGAACCAATATGATGTCCTCCCCCACCCGCACAAGTTGCAGATGAACTGCTTCTAACGGAAATGGAAATTCATTTGTCCTTATCTTCGATTAAGATCACCAAGGCAGTTGGCCCAGACAATATCCCGAACAAGCTGCCGAAGGATTTTGCCAATGAATTAACACCGTCAATTATGGATATTTATAACCAATCACTAAGAGAAAGCTATATTCCATCAATGCTCAAATCCTCAATTGTCAACCCTATCCCAAAAAGCTCCATACCTAAAGATATAGAAAGTGACCTCAGACCTATTTCTCTAACCTGTACCTTAGCAAAAATTATGGAAGGCTTTACCTGTACACGATTACTATCTTACCTGGTTGAGAAAATGGATGATAGACAATATGCCAGTAGGGGCCACTCAAGCAGAATTGATGGAGTTTTATCTGAATGGAAACTTCTCAGAGGGGGGATTCCACAAGGAACCAAGTTAGGTGTTATTCTTTTCAACATAATGACTTATTGCTAGATTGGAATATAAATGATTTTGCTGTTTCACACAACATGAAGCTAAATCACACAAAATGTAAGGAGATGGTAATTAACTTTATGCAAGATCCTAATTTCCTCTTGAAGCCAATCAACTTGGCAAATAGAACTGTTCAACAAGTTTCATGTTTTAAATTATTGGGTGTTTATCTCAGTGATGATCTTAAATGGAATGCACAAATTGATTATATCTGTACCAAGGCATGTAAGAGACTCTATGCCTTACGTATATTAGTCCATGTTGGTGTTAAGAGGAGCATTATTAACTCATTAATGCGCACATGTGTGGGCCCTGAGATTGACAAGTGGGTAACAGACAATAGGGCCATTTATACGGGACAAAATAAGTCGCGTCTTACATAAGACGCGTCTTACATAAGACGCGTCTTATATAAGCTGAGTTATCGCATAAATGGTTCTCTACGGATTTATTCTTGTTTACTTGCTATAGCTATAATGTTGTTTCGGTTGTTTTTGTTCGAATAAGCAAGGCTAATAATTTTACGTTGTTTCAAGATTCGGGCATGTGTAGTTAGATTTGTCTAAAATTTCTTATTTAAGACGCAACTTAAATAAGAACAGCTAAAAGTCCTGTTCTTATGTAAGACGCGTCTTATCCAAGACGCGTCTTACATAACAATTTTGTACCTTTTATACGACAAACTCGCGTCTTATTTAAGTCGCGTCTTATTTTGTCCCGTATAAATGGCCCTAATGTGCCCTCAAATGACACCTCAACTTGCAGGCATGATATTTGAGCATAGAACGTAAAATTCGAGCTTTTCAACAGTGTATCATGCAAGAAAATCGGTCAAAACTCGCAAAGTTTTTCATGTTTAAAATTTTACTTTTCAAAAATAATGAATAATGGCGACAGTGTTGCAAATTACGATTTCACAGCAAGTTTTAAAAGCAACAAAGAAGACGTGTTTGAACGATCTACAACGAAAATTTGGCATGAAAGGAAAGTGAATGTAGTGACGTTTTGGGGTCAAGTACTTTTGTGAACCATGTGCGAGATTTTCAGCCAAAAAGATGAGGATTTCTCCAAACTTTATTAAAAATTGAAGTCGGAAATCACAAGAAAGTGAACACATAACTCAAGTGAGCAGATACGATTTTTTAAAGGGTATTTTTGAGTATAAATATGCGATCAAACACTCACAATATTCGACTGCATTAATGTTGGTTGAATCTAGTTTAAAGTGATCTTTTTAGACAAACTGTTTATGCAAATTTGGGCACAATTTCGGCTGTTTTCGTGACCCCATTGTTGGTCTTCTTGTTGAAGTTGTTATTTTAGCTAAAGAATGTTTCAAATGACACCAGATTAAATTACTGTGTGCGTACATGCCCTATTTGGCAAGAATACTTCGAGTATTAAATTACGCTAAATAAGTAGGATATTCCAAAATCACTGTTATATTTATTTTCATCAACTTAGTCTTAAAATAACAACTTGTTTCAGACATATTGTGGTTTGAAATAAGTGTATTGATTTAATGCGCTTGTTGCTCTCTGCGAATTCTCAAAAAATCTGTACTTGAGTTCTAAAGCTTTTAAATTGCTTTTTGTATTGGGTTTTATATCCCCATAAAACTTTAAATCGATAAGGCAGATGGTAATGTTGATGCAACCTCATTTTCTAGTAACTACATGTTGAATCAGAAGTAAAAGTTATCAAAATAGGTCGCAACCGTTGTTTTGCAAAATGTTGCTTCTCTCTGGAATGGCTTCCTTTGCGGGAAGCCATGAAAACTGAAGTCCTAACAAAAACATAATTTAGCCGTCGTTTTGGGCCCATTGCTCGCTTATTTATTTATCATGAAATCACTTCACTAGAACTTATCATGAAATAGCTTCACTAGAATAATTTTCTGAACTAAAGTTTATCGCTTTAAGGTGTTTATTTTATAAAACAGCATGCGTGACAAAATGGCACTGTGGTTACTCACATCTGACAAACAACCAAAGATGAAAGTTCTTATTTCACCCTTTTATAGATATGTGGAATACCTGAATATTAGGTTATCTTTTTCATGTGAGGATATAGATAACATTTCTACACAATAGTCCTTATGAAGGCTTATTTTAAACTAAAAAAAACCTGATTGTTTTTCAGAGCCAGACTTCAAAAGAGAACGCATGTCCGACATTTTATATAGCAGCCTACATTGGCGCGCAAAATAATTTTGGCTAAAAACCGTTGCTTTTCCAACAAAAACACAAGAAAATTGAGCTAATAGTCTTATACTTGATGTATGTTTAAAATGTTTTTCTTTTTATGGTGTTTTTCAGTGCTTTGAGTAGAGAGGTTAATAGCTTTTGGCTTTGTCACCACAATTTGCCTTTGAAAATGTTGGCTGTCATTGTCTGTGTTAAACACACCTCACCTTCTCGTCCTTGCTTTATATTGAAAATAAATAGATTCTATTACCATATGTCCTTTTAAATGTATTTGAAGTAATTGAAAACTTGAAAGATGTACAAGCACACTGTTTTGGCTTGCACACTTTGTTGAATTTGAACACTTAGCAGAGGCGGATCCAGACCCAAAACTGACCGTGGCTCCTAAATTAAAGCACGCATAACTAGGGGGGTCCGGGGGCATGCCCCCCCGAAAAAATTTTGAAATTTGAAGCCCAGAAACACCATTTCCTGCAATCTGAGCGGCGTATTTCCTCCTCAAATTTCGGTCTATGGACGGCGAAGCATGGCCATCATTTCCTTTTGGTGCCACCAAAAGTGATATTAAATATATCAACAGTTTGGGTAGGATAGTATGATTGAATTGTAAGCCAATTACCGTCGCTAAGGTAAACATCATCACGTGAATTCGTAATTATGCATTGCTTCTTCAGTAGGCTAACTGCTGCTGTATGATCATATTTTCAAAAACTGACATGGCAGTATCAGACAAGCACTTTGCAAAGGCAATTTTAAGCCAAGTGAATGCTCCATTCTGAACAGGTGTATCAGAAAAAAGTAAACAATTTCAAACGGCTCTCAATTTTGACCAATGTTCATGTCATTAAATATTTGATAAACATATATTGTTTGGTTTCTTATAATGTAGAATAAACAAGAAATTTTCGTAAAGATAAATTTTCCAAAGCAGGGGGGATCTTTTTTAGCAGCATTAAAATAGCCTGCACATGAAATTTAAAAGGTTAAAACGCATTTTGAGTTGATGGACGAGAAATTTGTTATGTGTTTTATTAATGGTCCAAATATCAGAAAAATTGCTGAATTTTATGTCCTTCAAATAGGCGCTGAAACTATAACTTTTGGCACCAATGCATTTACGCATGCTTAATTCATGCATTTACCTAATTTGCATAATGTCACTTCACCTTTTATACAACATAGTTAAAGAAATCTATGTTAAATTAACCCATTCGTGTGCAAGGTCTTTCCAATGATGAGTAAAATTATCCAAGAACTAGACAAAGTAATGTAGCACAGAATATGGTATTTGGGTGTGTGCTGTATTGTAACAACAGTAATTGAGTGAACTAGCTATCATTATCATTTGCTTGCATGGCCAATATCTACATGGTTCTTTGAGTAACAGCTATACAAGACAATGGGGGAGGATGTGGGTGACTACCATATTACCACTCAGTTGCCAGAAATCTCAATTCTTTAACCTATTGAGAGCCAGCACTCTCCCCTTCACAAGTAAAGTCAACTGGTGTTAGACAGAGTAAAATAATAAAGTACGGCACTTTAGGCCTCATTAGGGCACACTGCAACTCAATGGGTTAAACTTATATATACATTTCTTGCAAATTTGCTTAATGTAATCCTACCAATTTATAACTTTCCAATAGATGTAAAAATAGTAAAATTATTTTTACAGCTTTGTTACTCATGTAGTTATTCAGCCACCATTCAAAGACTTTCAGGAATTTTTTGGGGGAGGGGGTAATCACCCCCCTTGTACTGTATGCACCGATAATAAGAATATTTATATCAGTAATCTATGTAGCTTTATTGGTCTTACATGATATTTTCTCCATTTCCATGATTGTTTAAGTGCTCATGAGTGTAACATACAGTATGGTTGCAACATGCTTTCAAGTGTTTAATGGCTCAATGTTATGTTGCTCCATAATGGGACTTTTTGCTTGACAACATGCCTCTAAAGCCTGATTCACAGTTAGTGATTTTGTTGATGATTTTCTCATCCTGACGGATTCAAATGAGTGGGCTTGCACACAATTGGTTTTCACAAGTATATGCTTCCACGCTTTTACATGTTACTCATCTAGTCGTCACCCCCCAGCAGAAGAAATATTTGCCGACAAAAGATTTGCTGACTGAGAACCTGAATTAAGATCATCTCAAAATGCATCTCAATATGAAGATGGCTCACTTCCACATAAACACATCCTAATTTTATCCAGTAATTATTTGACAGAATAATAGATAATATTCAATATATAAATAAAACATATATGCCACCATACTACATAATATCACCAAAATATTTACAAATAAAGTAACCTTGGATTTGTAAACATTGCATTGCCAGTATATATAGGCGCCATATAACTAATGCATACATGTCATAAATTGTTATACGATCTAAATTCACTTAATATACCAACCAGGCAGTTACATGTAATATTATTTCACATTGTAACTTTATCACAAAGAAATTATACTGAATCGACTGGATATATTAAAATAATACATACTGGATAAATAAAACATTGCTAATATTTCGCTGTAATACATATTCGATCACAATAAATTTACATATACGCACTTTGCATACAAGTAGTTCTAAATATTTAATAGAAATTAGATTCAGTCTCACCTTGCAGGTATTATATTTAGCAAAGCCCTTATATAAAGCGCAGGTCTATCTTTCTCACTTTCTGGCCGTTCGTATATGTTTTCTATTCCAACTTCGCTTGCTGTCTTCCCGACCACAATGTTGATTCAACAACAAAATTTCGCTTGAAACGTCTT